AATTAATCACAGTAGCTTCCTTCACCGCGACCACTCACCCCCCACTCCTGCACACCCTACCCCCCCCCCCCCCCCCCCCCCCGGGCGAGCAACTATCCCCAACCCATTTCTCTATGGTTTGTGGTCGCCGGCTGCCTCTGCGCTGCGTTCCTGCGCCGCCATTGTTCGCGATACCATGAAATTAGCCCCCCGAGTCCTCATGTAAGCGCTGCCGTCCTCCTGTTTACCTAGAGGTTCCAGCTTGTGAATATGCTCGAATAACGTCACCCATAGCTAACCCTTCCTGATGGGCACAGCAGTCGACTTTGAGAACCACACACACATATATATACCACCGGCATTCCACCGTCTTGTGCGTTCGCCGCTACAACAATTATATAATACCTGGGGGCTCCGATACCCATAACGCGCGCTACACTTTTGCATCGCCTTGGATCCTCTTAGTTGGGCTTCGTCCACTCGCTACATAATCCTTGGCCTGGCGTGTCTCATCCTTTGAAGACGGCTTGAAGACAGCGACGGCGGCGGACGGTGGCAAGGTGATTCGGTCGACCCTGACAGACCAGGTCAAACCAAGCTGGTCTAGGCCAGGCGCAAGAAAACCAGCAGATTCGTTGTCAGTTAGTCGGTGTATGTCAAGTAGTGCCCGAGTCTTCTTTTGCCAGCCTTGCGCCTTGCTATGCTGTGGTACCGCAATCATTCCTCTTGCGCGCCGCATATCTACAATCCTCTACCTTCCGCTCGGAAACCAGAAATGCTAGGCTAACGAAAGCCTTGTATATAGGACGCCCCAGGCTAAGATCTTCCAAGTCTTTTGGAAGCAGTCCGGCGCGACTTACCATAGCTACAATATTGTGCTTTGAAGCAATACCACCTCTGCCCTCCACCGTCCTATCTCAGCACCTGCCATCTATATCGGCACGGCTTGCATACATCACTTTACAAGATGAACCCGCAGGGGCAGTATGGGGCAGCCCCGAGGCGGCCCAATAATGCTTACGGTCAGCCAAGTTCTGACGAGCTGCATATCCCTTCCAATCCTATGAATCACGCTGCTGCTAGCCAGATGTCTCCTCGAGACTTCACCACCGCGCCTGGTCCCCAGATTAAGCTTGATCAACCGCCCCCGCAACCTAGCCATCCGCCTCAATACCAGTCTTCCTCAGCAGTCCCCGGTGTCCTTCAACCAGGCCGTCCTTCTGGCATGGGCAATAATCCTGCTCCGCCCTTGTCAAGTATGTCTGGCGTCATGCAACATTCCCCGAGCGAATATGCCTCACCTTCCAAGCCTCCATCGTTGAGCATGTCGCATACTTACTCGAGATCGAGTCCCGCTGACCCTTACGATACCTCTACCCCGTCTACCTACACTCCCTACACTCCCACTACGCCTGGGGGCTCAGCAATTCCCGGCCAGTCCCAATACATGTCGCCACAAGATCCCAAGTACGCCGTTCCTGGATCTCATAGGAGTATATCTAACACACCGCTTGGTCTCGCCGATATCAGGCCACGTGCCGACTCAAGCCTATCTGACAGCCAGCCTGGTACCATGGGATATGAGTTGCCCAACTCACAACCTTCGACGAGTAGCTATCTAGCCCCTTGGGGTCTCTATGCCTTCGATTGGTGTAAATGGAAACCACATGGTAAAGGGGCTGGCAAGGTCGCTGTCGGTAGCTATCTTGAAGATGGACACAATTATGTATGTCAGGATGAGTCTGCTTCACAAGCGAATCTCCACAACCTCGTGTTATTCACTTTTTATGTGGGACGGGAACAACTAACGCATCTCGTATTAGATACAAATCCTTGATACTAAGATTGTCAACACGCCCCCTGACGTTTATACCCCTGGCTCACCTAAATATTGCCTCGAATTTAAAAAGATTGCGGAGGCAACACATTCATATCCCGTTACACGCTTATTATGGGAACCCCCGTCATCACAAAAACAATCAACCGATTTATTAGCAACATCTGGTGACCATCTTCGACTTTGGTCTCTTCCCGCCGACACGCAGTCAGCGCATTCGAATTCGATCACCAAGGCCGCTTCAGACGCCCCCGGTCCCAAATTAACACCTTTAGCCCTACTGTCAAATTCGAAGACGCCTGACCACACAGCTCCATTGACTTCCTTGGATTGGAACACCGTCTCCCCAAGTCTTATTATCACGTCCAGCATCGACACTACCTGCACCATATGGGATATACCTTCTCTAACCGCCAAGACACAATTGATCGCCCATGACAAAGAGGTATACGACGTTCGGTTCTGCGCTAATAGTGTAGACGTTTTTGTCAGTTGCGGGCAGGATGGTAGCGTGCGCATGTTTGATCTCCGAAGCTTGGAACACAGTACTATCATTTACGAACCTACCGCCAAAGACGATAGAGGTGAGTCGTTATTGCGTTCCATGTGACATATGAAGTGGTCTCCTTACTTATTTTCGTTTCAGACGCCAATGGCGGTAGGATAAGTCCTACGCTAGCCCAGCAGACGATGACGAACGCCCCTCCGTTATTACGGCTTGCCACCTCACCGCACGATACTCACCTCTTGGCAACATTTGCTCAAGATTCCAGCATCGTCCGCATACTAGACGTTCGGCAGCCTGGCCAGGCGCTACTGGAATTGCGCGGTCATGGTGGACCGGTCAACACGGTCGAATGGTCGCCTGGAAGGAGAGGCTTAGTCGCGACCGGAGGAGACGACTGCCAGGTACTGCTGTGGGACCTTATGAACAGTTCCCCGATATCGGGCGGCGCCTCTTCGTCCTCGTCTAATGGCGGAGGAGGGACGGATAAGCATATTAATCCCGTCGCGAGCTGGAATTGTGAGTGGGAGGTGAGTAATCTTGGCTGGGCTCCTCCGCTGGATAACAGTGATGGTGCTGGGGATTGGTTGGGTGTCAGTGCTGGACGGGGGGTCTGGGGGGTGAAGGTTTGAAGTTTCGAGGTTCTGAAGGTTGGGCGGGTGAACGGCGATATCATGTTTGTAGGCGAGCTTGTGAAAATGAAAGTCATTGTTCTATTCGTAAATGCGATATAGTGAGTGAGTGAGTTGAATGGCAGCATAACGAACGAACGACGCAGGCACAATTTCTTAACTCAGCCTTCTCTACGAGAGTTTTACATGATTTATATCTTCCTTGATTCATTATTAGTAGGAAAATAATGTCACCTGCTTAAGAGTACCTATATGGAGACTTGCTCAAGCACAGGTACGAATACCAGGTACCTAAATGTTATACACCTGCCTAGCTGTCCATAGAGAACTCAAGAGTCAAGGTTGGCGCTCGCCGCTCGCTCTAGGCCTTTATGTTGCGCACTGTACGGTAGTAGCCACCTAAGATATTGATTCGTTAGGTAGGTAACTTGGGCAGTCAGTGAAGGTGAAGTAGGCCCCCGGAACAGTATGTCTCTACATGTCTCTACAGTACGCAAGGCAGATGATTGGATATTAACACTGTATTGGCATCGGTAGGTTAGGGAGGGAGCTTACCTAAGTGCATAGGTGGTTTAGCCACTTTTCAGCAGCAACATCCCAGCCCCAGCGAGCGCGTTCGTCTCTTCCAGCAGAGCAGCCAGAGCTAAGGTAGAAGTCGATCCGAATTAACTTTCAAAGGAATCTTTCTCCCTTCACACTTTGTCTATTTACCTCTTCTCCTCAACATGAACCTCTTGTAATCTACCTGCCTTTTCGTGTCCTTTCTTTCACAACTCACTTTTACCAATTACTACAATTACTACACGTCGTTCCTTCTCAGCCAACCCGCATACCGTACGCAGACCTAAATACCTAGGCAGACATCACAAAGCATCAATCACACTAAGCATACCTTCCAATACCAAACATCACATATCGACACGATGAGCGATCCGCGCGATTACAACGATGCAGAGTCCGAAGAGGAAGATGACTTCAATCCCGTTCCCGCTGACATGAGCGACGATGACGCCAAGGGAGATGCCGAAGGCGATGAAGACGACGACAATCAACACAGACAGACAACAAAGGCCCCCTCGCCTGCGCGCAAGAGACCCGCTGCTGCCGATCACGACGACGATGAAGACGAAGACGAGGAGGACGATGACGGCGCCAACAATGGCCCCGGAGGTGATGACGAAGACGAGGATGAGGAAGAAGAGGACGAAGAAGATGAAATACAGGTAAGTGCCATCCGATGCATGCCTTGTTCGATCGGTTCATTCTTCCTTCTACCACACCGCCACGCATGCACGGCCTAACTTGTGCGCGCCATATTAGGGACATCGCCGAAAGCGTCGCCGGGACAAGCGCAATGCCTTCTTCGATATCGAAGCCGAAGTCGACGATGAAGACGAGGCTGAGGACGACGAAGAGGCAGAAGCAGAAAACGAAGGCTTCATTGAACAAGAAGAGCTCGGGGATTTTGGCGATGCCGGTCGGTTGGAATCAGATCGGCGACATCGAGAGCTCGACCTGCAGCGCGACCGCATGAACCATGAAGACCTCCAGAAGGAAGCAGAATCATTCGTGCGGAAATACGGTCATAGACGCCATGCTAGGGGCATGGGCGACACCACTATTGTTCCCCAGCGTTTACTGCTCCCAAGCGTCGACGATCCCTCCATCTGGGGTGTGCGCTGCAAGGAAGGAAAGGAGCGGGAAGTCGTCTACTCCATAACGAAGCGCATCCATGAGAGGATGGGCACAAAAGACGAACTGGGCATCACGGCTGCCTTTGAACGCGGTGGCCCAAACTCCATTTACAAGGGTATAGTCTACGTCGAGGCATATCGACAGACCGATATCCTACAGGCTCTCGATGGAATGCTTAATGTGTATCCTCGATCCAAGATAATCCTGGTCGACATTAAAGAGATGCCCGATCTTTTACGCGTGCAAAAGACGCCTACGCTAGAACCTGGTGCATGGGTACGACTCAAGCGGCCTATGAAGTACGCAGGTGATTTAGCCCAGGTCCAAGACATCACAGAGAATGGCCTGGATGTAAAGGTGCGATTCATACCCAGATTGGACTATGGAGTGCGAGACGACACACTTGCGGGAAGTACTGCAGACGGCAAGCGGAAGCGTCCTATTATGGGCCCAAGACCCCCTCAGAAGCTATTCAGTGAGGTTGAGGCCCGAAAGAGGAACCCTCGCATTCTTACAGGCAACCCCCAAACTAATGCCTGGTCATTCGGCAACGATTACTTTGAAGGCGGCTTCCAAGTCAAAGACATCAAGATTCAACACCTTACTGTCAAAGACGTTAACCCAAGCCTGGAAGAAGTAACGCGGTTTACTTCTGGAGGCGAGGACGGCGTCGAGAACATCGATCTCAAATCACTTGCTGCCAGTCTCAAGGACAGTAACGCTACCACTACTTACCTTCCAAACGATGTGGTTGAGGTATACGAAGGCGAACAGAAGGGTGTTGTCGGCAAAGCTACACAAGTACAGGCCGACATCGTTACTTTACAAGTCACAGAGGGCGAATTGGTTGGGCAGACTATCGATGTGCCCACCAAGGGTCTACGCAAGCGATTCCAGCTGGGTGATCACGTCAAGGTGATCGGAGGCAGCAGATATAGAGACGAACTGGGCATGGTTGTCAAGATTTCTGAGGATCGCGTAACACTCCTCACCGATCAAACAAATACCGAAATCACAGTCTTTAGCAAGGACCTAAGAGAGGCTAGCGATATTGCTGGCCAAGGTTCACTCGGCCAATATTCCCTCCTCGATCTTGTCCAGTTGGATCCTACTACAGTGGGCTGTATTGTCAAGGTCGACCGCGAGTCGCTGGTGGTGCTGGATCAGAATGGCGATACCCGACAGGTCATGCCATCCCAGATCGCAAATAAACTGCCCAAGAGAAAACTTGCCGTTGCTGCTGACCGCACGGGCTCTGAAATCCGACCAGACGATGTCGTAAAGGAGTACGGTGGCATGGGCCGGCAAGGCAAGATTGTTCATATTCACCGGAGCTACGTGTTCTGCCATACACACCAAACAACAGAGAATGCTGGTATTTTTGTTTCTCGCGTAAGCAGCGTATCAACCATCTCTGCTAAGGGTGGTCGAATCAACGCAGCGTCATCAGGACCCGACTTGGATTCAATGAACCCTGCGAAGAAACTCAATCCCACAGGACGAAATGATATGCCACCTCCCCGACAAGTATTTGGACGAGACAAACTCATTGGTCAGACTGTTACGATCCGCAAAGGTGGTTGGAAAGGTCTTTTGGGCCGCGTCAAGGATACTACCGATACTCACGCGCGGGTAGAATTGCATACGAAGAGCAAAGTCATTAGCGTGCCTAAGACGGATTTGATGGTCAGAGACAGCGTCAGCGGCCGTGAGATCAAGAACTACGAGAGCAGACGTCCAGGCGGACCTAACGGAACGCCCGCACGGCCACAAGAACGTGCTGCACCGGACTGGAACAGCGGAAGTCGTACCCCTGTTGTTACATCATCTGCTAGAACCCCAGCTTGGAAGACACCATCAGGAGGAATTGGTGGACGCACGCCCGCTTGGGGTAAGGGTGGCGATGGTGGAAGAACGCCTGCATGGGCCGATGGATCGAGAACTGTCAATCCTTACGATGGTAGCAGGACAGCATACGGGTCGGGCGGCCGCACTCCGGCGTGGTCCTCGGGCGGCTCCAAGACACCTGCCCACGACTACGGGTCCAAAACACCAGCCTACGGCGGCAGCAATGGTGATTCATGGGGTTCGAAAACTCCCTATGGTGCTTCAGCAGCTACACCCGGTGCCAGCGGAAGCGATTCATGGGGCTACACACCTGGCGCAAGTGGATCCTCCAGCGCATACGATGCACCGACTCCTGGCGCCAGTATGTTGAGCGCACCCACTCCCGGTGCCCTCAACGCGCCGACGCCCGGCGCATATAACGCTCCTACACCTGGCGCGCCGACGCCAGGCGCCGGGTGGCAGAGCGGCTGGGGAACGGAATCTGCGCCTACCCCTGCTGCCGCCGCGCCCACACCGGCTGCTAGTGGAGGTGGATATTATGGCGCGCCGACGCCTGGGGCTTACGCTGCTGATACACCTGGACCGAGATACACTGATGATGACTAGATGGGGGGGCTGTACTATATTACATGACAGTGGTTAGGCGATTCACGGTTAAGATGACACCAGAATACCTGAAGCATAAAAGAGGTAGATGGTAGGTTCGGGGAGCTCTTGAAGAGTTTTGCTGAGGGCAGAGAGGATTCAATAGAACGGTGCTGGAATCTAAAATGAGTTTTCCTGTGATGCGATGTGATGTGATATATTACCTAATGATATATTGTGATATGTTGAGGTATGTCGTGGTGTGGTGTGGTGTGGTGTGGTGTGGTGTGATCTGCGATGCCATTTGTGTAAGGTTATATGCTATACTATTCTTGTTTGCGCTAAGGTAGGTGATGTGTTGTGCAGTAGGTATTGTAGAGATGGATGGATGGGTGTTAGGTTTTGGATGCTGGTGTATTGCTTATGAGCTGAGGGAGGGATAAAGGGAGGAAAGAAGAGGAGTGGGAGAAGAGTGAATAGACCTGTGTGTAGATATAAAGATGTCTGATGTACCTATATATTGTCTACTGCCTGTCGGTCTGTCTGTCTCCCTTCAATGTTGATATGTAACTCTGGAGGAATGTCAGGGTGTTTACATGCGTCCTTTTCAGGAGTGAATTAGAACCTGTAGGTCTGGGCAGGTAAGCAGGCTTTGCTTTGTGCTCTTGCTGTGTGTTTTCTTTGTGGTTGGTATTTGTAATGGTGTAAGTGGTGGTGGAAGGTCTTGAATTTTGAATGGAATTATGTTTCTGTAAGTGAGTGAACGCAGTGAACCGGGTCAATTTGCTACCTGGGTAGGTAGGGAGGTAGTTACGTAGAAAGATATATAATTGCTCGACTTTGAATGGTATTGCGTGGAAGAATTGTTGTGCTGCTAGGTAGTGTGATGTTATGATGTTGCCATGTTTCGATATTTCAATGGGCTAAGAGTGTTACCGTAGGTATGATCATGTTGGGAGTAAGGGATGGATGGTTATGAGTGTGCTGGGTATTTCTGGTGCCGCCTGGAGATTTGGTGTGGTGTTTAGAATGTCCAGTCCTACTCAGGTGACTTTATCTAATATTCTTGCACCACTGACGGAGATTCAGGAACTGACCAGGCTCATAATCGTCGTAAGCATTAGTCAAGATGTAGTAGGGTGGCAGAGCCTTTACTCCTGAAGAATGTGACTGATCTATATAGTACTACATCTGTGTCATCTTCGCTCTAGTATTAAGGCCGGCATTCCAGATCGATCTTTGACGCAAGTTAATTGAGTTCTAGGGCAGTCTTCTAGCCGCTTCCTAACTCTGTCGTTTTTCTCCGACCTTCCTATAATTATCATATAGGCGGATCAGTAATTATCGGTGGTTTATCGATTCCAATGTTCTATCTGAGCATCAACAATGACAGCAAGAGTATACCTTCTCTAATCCTAATACACAGTTCGCCATTTGCTGTCTTTCCCATGTTAGATATCTGGCTGTTTCCTGATAGCACAGGTGTCTTGTAAAGTGGTCGCCCCATCTTACGTTCCTGGACTCAACCCATATGTGAGCCCAGGAGCATTGTTTCATGAACCCACGTATGTTCTTAAAGCGACGGGCTTGTCTTCCTTCAAACCAGCTCTCGGTTCGCCAACGCCACCATCGTTACCAGTTCATATCCGAGCGAAAACAAGTATAAATATCTTACTAGTTTGCTTCTTTTGAGCTACATTGTTCCCCTTTTCCACTCACCAACCAAGACAAAAGGCCTTACAACGGATATCAATTACCACACCAACAACTAACAATGAAGATGCCATCCACAAAGACGGAAAACCCACGCCAAGAACAAAAGACGGGTCTATTGGATGAATTTATTGAGTTGTTGAGAATGATCTCTTGGCTTCCATTTCCTCCCCGCACGCCGGAACAAGAGGCGAAAATGGCAGAAAGGAGGCGAAGGAAGACGGAGAAGCGAGAAAATAAAATTTACCGTAAAGCGGCCAGGAGGCAAATGCGTGCAGCTCGCATGGAGGCGTATGAGCGGCATTAGTAAGTTATGTTTCGCTCTTTCAACCATCGGGGTAGCATTGGTCTATTACCACAGATGATGCGACCTACGGCGCTGGTTGATTGGTCCTGTCCATTCCGGTCGTCCAGTCACATTCCAATATTCCTCCACCCGTCCTAGCCTGCCATGCGCATAGATGTAAGTAGGCGTTATTAAATTATTCATTATTTAGTTGAATCCATATCCCATCATACTATGTTTACATATTGGCCGCTGGTACTTTCAACATGTGATTAACAGAAATCTTCCCAGTTTGGAGTCAATAAAAGATAGTAAAAACTGAGTTGAATTGATAATTAGGTTGCTTGGTAGAATGAGAATTATGAGAATCTATGTTCGTAATCTTTATAATTAATCAAATATTAAAGAAGAAATGGTAGGGTGTGCATTGCAATGTCACAATGAATGTGAATATAAAATATACATGTAGACAGATATTGTCTAAGTACCTACCTAATGTAGCAAAGAATCTCAAGATACCGATTGTGAGGCCTTTCTCTCAGGTTCTCTGATAGCGCAGCCTACCGAAGGTAATATTTGATATCGATACTATGTATACTACTAGACGCTTATATACCTCTGGAGTAAGCCATGGCGCGGAGATGAATCTTTCAATATGGTTTATTCCCTTCTTTCCACCATAGGGTAGGGTAGAACAAAACTTCTGCCCGAAGCTTGTTAGCTGCCACGCACCGCCACACGCTGGCGCCGGTTGGTAAAAGGTCCCCTCGGAGCTGTGGCTGAACATCACGTAGCTCCGGCTTGGCGGGTACCTTAGGTAAGCACCTTACCTACCAATCATCACGATAAGATAAGGCCACACGCGCGCACACAATTTTCCAAATATTCTGCGAGCGCCACAATCCACCCGTGCGTGCCCCAGCGCCCCATGCGCAAACGAAGGACCGCCCACCAACCCAAACCAGATTTACCACCACCACCACCACAACCTCCATCCCGAGAACTTCGATTCCACCAGCGACAACACCAACAATCCCCATCACCGTCACCTCTCTCCCACCGACAGTACCTCGACCATCACTGCCGACAAGATGGCTGACGCCGACTACGTACGTTATTCCGGACACTCTACACGCCGTCGCCACATACCTGCCTGTTGCTGACACTACTTTCGAATGAACAGGACCCCGTTGCCGCCGCTGAGCTGAAGAAGCGCAGAGCCTTCCGCAGTATGCAGTCCCTGAACCCTCCTCCAAGATTCTATTACCGTCGTCTTGCTCCTATCGTCGATTGAAATTCCCGCTCAGCCGAGTCGATCCGATGCAATTCGCCCACACCCTACCTATCAAAGTCCTCTCTCGCAATTCTGTATTGAACATGACTTGACTGACGACTCTCCCCACAGAGTTCTCTTACCGTGGCGTTGAACTCGACGACCTTCTTGAGCTTGGCTCCGACGACCTCCGCACTCTATTCCATGCCCGTGCTCGCAGACGTCTCTCTCGCGGTCTTCGCCGCAAGCCCATGGGCCTTGTTCGAAAGCTCCGTGTCGCCAAGCAGAACGCTGCCCCCAACGAGAAGGCACGTATTCGCAGCCAATCCGACATAGTGAACCCGCTGCTGACCTTGTTCGTAAATTTAGCCCGCTGAATGCAAAACCCATCTCCGCAACATGATTGGTGAGTCTGATCTGCTCTAGACAATGAAAGATCCGCTTGACTGACTCTTGACATAGTTGTGCCTGAGCTGATCGGCTCCGTCGTCGCTGTCTACAACGGCAAGGTCTTCAACAGCATCGAAATCCGCCCGGAGATGGTTGGACAGTAAGTTGAACAATTCCTCAATCGAGTATCATTATTCGCCGGGATACTAATGGTTGTGCGAAATTAGCTACCTTGGTGAATTCTCCATCTCATAGTAAGTTCTCACTGCTTGAACCACTCTTGAAATACACAAGTGGCTAACTTGGCCGACAGCACACCCGTCAAGCACGGTCGTCCCGGTATTGGTGCTACACACTCATCTCGTTTCATTCCCCTGAAGTAAAGAGTATTTGGGTATAATGGGTCACGGGATCGGGTCATTGATGGGCATGACTTCCATCACCACGCAAGTCGGGTTCGAAAGAATTCGGTTACTGTAGCTACGGCTTTAGATGATTCTCCCGCAAAATGGGATGCGCCTAGCAATTCGCAGTGGTACTTTCTTTTGTCCATGGAGCGAATTCTGTGACGTGGTTTACGAAGTGATTAAAAAAATACAAAGGCGTTGTCTACCGGCGGCGGAACTGCTGGTGCGAGGTTCTACTCAATCAATTACATATTGCATGACCACCGCTATGGGAAGTGTACAATCATTTATTGACGACCGTGTAGACCATCATGACCGATACTTCTATCTGCATTACCTTCAGAGAATCCTCAATTGCCAATTCAACATCTGAAGAGTACTGCTTTGCTCATTCTTTGGACAGTGATAGCACCTGCATCCTCTCCTGCATGTCCCCCGTACTCACAGTCTGAGATTGACTTGGCAAATCTACGCCAATGGTCTCTCCGTTCACACAGATCGATGGGCCCCATAGATTCGCCGTGTTCCTACTGCTTTGTTTCTTTACTCCCGCCCTTATCGCCTGTCGCTGGGTTTTGACCAGCAATCTTCGCCGCCGCCCGAGAGTGGCATGTGTACTCTAAAAGTTTCTATGATATGTGCTTAGTAAATATAACTTGTAGTTTTGGCAGTGGGTGCGGATGATGATGATGATGACACTTACCGTATCGATGACAACGTCCGAATGTATGGTATATAAATCGTTGGTCAGCTAAGACTTGGTTTAGTATATGATTGGGTACCTAGGTAGACTGATTAGGGGAGATGGAGAGCTAGAAGATATCGCGGGGGGGACTAAGAGGGTGATAGGTATTGGAGAAAGCCTGAATGAATAATATATACAAAGACTAGGAATTTATCTCCGGTGATTTCTTTCACATAGTCCCGGAACTCTGCGATGGGTAGCCCTTTGCCGGAGACGCATGCTTTATACTTCATTTTTGATGATATGAAATTACAGCGCGAGTAAGGTTGGCGTTTAGAGTCTTGTGCGAAACTTATGGCTTGAAGAGTGCAGTGTATGGAGATAGACAGACAGATAGCCTTTGTTGATATAGGTCCCCCGAGAAAGATTCTTGGGAGCTTGTGTGACGATATATACCCTCCCTCCCCCTCCCCTCCCTTGGGTTCATGTTTGCTAGGGAGATACGTGGGCGCTTGGGACTGCTGGTTCTTGCTTCGCTTTGGGTGTGCTGTCTGTGTGGCTCAATCCACGCGTTCGCGATCCCTCGCGTTACCACGTGATAGGTTGGGTGCTTGTGCTTTACCTAGCTACTCTGCCTTGTGGAATGAGAGAGACTAGAGTGAGTATCCCTAGGAAGCGTTGGAGGCATTTCCTTAATATCCGTGATGTTTGAACACTGATAATTCGGGTTGGATGTCTGCGCTTCGCTGTTTACGTGTTGAGCTCGCGGTTGGGTTGGTCGTTACAACACGGGGGAATTAATTGGCTTATGAACTTGAACTGTGATAATCTTAACTAGTGGAAACTCGATACCGAGCCGTGCCCGAATGGATGTGTCGTTAGCGATGCCGCAATTTGTGTTGGTCCTATCGTGAATATCCCTGTGTGAGTCGACATGCAAGGGGGTACTGTATCCTAGTGTTGCGTGAGAACCTGTGAGCCAACACTCTATATAGCAGACCAGTTGAGAGTGGTACATGAACTAGGTTGATCCTAGGATGAAGATAAGCTACAATTTATTGTTCGATATGCACGTTGGGTTCGCAGTCTTCAATATTATCTTAATACTTTGCCATCTTCTATCCACTGTGGTTGTATAACAAGCAATACTTGATTTATACACGTTAATTATTTCCCATTTGAACTTCTTACAGCTATCCTAATATCATGCCTATATCTCTATGATTCTTTCTCTGTATTTTGGTTATACTGTTTGCGGCTCTACTCTGTGTCATGGATTACCCTATCGTGATCGATATCGTGCCCCTATTAACATTTCAATGTGTTCTTTTTTACCGCTTGGTATACAGCTAGCTCAAATATATGAAATACTGGAGCCCGTTCATCACTATGTGATAGTCAACAGAGACATTACACATATCATAATCTTTCATCCCCATGGGTGCTTATGAGCGGTTCTGTAACTGATAGTCTCTAGCACACGCTTCTCTCCCCTTAAAGATGAAATATGGATATTTCATCTTAAACTATTTAGCATCTGATCATCTTGTTTAGATATGAAACTGGTTATATGTGCTATCTCAGCTCGTATGGGGATTTTGATAGTTGTACTATGTAGATATGTAGATACAACCAGCAAAGTACTTCAGCAGGGGAGCCCTGTCGCTCCATCCGTGTGGGTGAGGGTGTCAAGGAAGCATTCGTCTGAGCTGGGCGGGTACCATCAACGCTTGGCTGTTCTCTCACACACCAATACTCCGCTTTTAGATCGATGGACTGTTTTACTCGAAGCCCCGCGTTCAGGGTGTCAACAAAGCGAGACAGGCATGCGTGATGAGGAGCCTCGAAACTCGATTCATTGATAGCTACATGTAGGGTGCACTTGGGTGTTTCCAGCATGAGCTCATAGCTTGAGAATCTCATTATGCAACTTGTAATATAACTACAGATTTGACTTCCTGCTGCTCAATATTCCCAATAGCCTTGACACAGGATACGGGGATTAGATAGAAGGTATCTCCTAAGTTTTAGGATCCTAGGTCATAGATGCAGCATAGACTACTAGTGGTCCTAGTTTAGTCTCCTTAGCGCTCGATCTGCTACTCAAATCCCCAAGGGGTGGGAGTTCCACCATCCACCATCGGTCTTTCACATGGCTAATGTTCCACTTGGTAGTCGAAGCAGTATTCTGGATGTATTTACTAACCTAGTGCGGCGGATCAGGTAATGTAGGGTGATACGCCTCTTGGCGTGAGCTTCATGTCCCTGTAGTGAACGATCGTCAGTCGTTCGTATTCGTGGTGTGGCTAGGCGGGTTGCTGTGTCGAGTAGATCAGGGCATAAAAGATCACCAATCGCCCATTGACATGAGAAAAACTCTCTATCATCATAAAGCGTCAATTATTTCAGTTTTTCGCTCACTTCATTTCTCTTCGCTCAACTATACAGCTGTGCTGTACTTCGCTTCTTGCCATCATCCGAGTCAATTCAACGATCCTTCGTCGCCAGCGGCTTAATTGTAGCCCATCACCTTGCGACCCAAATATTCATAATTATCCCACTATCTCAAAATGCGTTTGACTTTAAGCTCCATCGTCGCTTGCGCTGCTGTTGTTCAAGCTGGTGTATTCTCCCGACAAAACTATAACGAAATCTCCATCTCGGGTGGCTTCGCAGGCAACGCCCAGGAAGAGGCACTAGGAGTATTCGGCGCTCTGGACCTGAATGACCTGGCCAACGTCGACAAAGACGACCTCGACTTCCTCAACTCTGTGAATCAGATCTGCAATGATGCCGAGAGAGAGGCCTTCAACCCAGCCATTGATGCCGCCGATGGTGAAGAGGCCGATGCCCTCCAGCGTGGCAAGATAAAGAACAAAGTCCTGAAGCTCACAGCTACCATTCTCAAGCTTCAGGCACAGCAGGCACAGGGCAAAGATGTTGCTGACAGACTGGAGGAGGAGCAGATAAAGCTGAACAACAACATTCAACAAGATGAGGATGAGGCGGGTAATGAGTCAACTTTCTTGTCATTCAATGCCATCACCGACTAAGCGTTTGACTCTCCTCTCACTCTTTAAAGCCTTGATCGAGTGTCACAGCAGGACTACACCGAGTTTTACAACGGAGAACGGGCTTTCCTTATCCTTAGCTTGGAAAAGTGATTGTCGTCGTAAAGGCAAGCGGGCATTTTGAATTCGAGTATGGACTTTTTATTATATATACTTTAAAAATCACCACGTATGATACCCCAAGGTCGGAGTCTTGACTTGAATATGCATGTTCACATTAGAAATTGGTTGAGACTAGTTAGGGCCCAGCTCACGGTTCTCTATTTCTTCAATCTATTCCTCGTAGTATATTTGCATTGGCTGATGAGGACATGTCTAGCAGGTGAAGACGGCAGGCCCCGGTGGTGTGTAAGAGGTGGGAACAGGGTAATAAATGTTAATCATCAAGCCTGGGTCCGTCGCCTTATAAGCACCCGGGAAGGCAACCAAGTTGGTCGGCGATTTGCTCCCACCACCAGTGACGGTGAGCTGAGCACAAGACACGTACGGCTGGGCCCCGCCTGCAGACTGGGCGCTATGCAGAGCAATGTGCTCGACGCGAAGCAGGTAGTCGCCGGCTGGAATACACGAGGGAATCTTCGTCGTCACCTGGCTTGCGCCTTGGCTGGGCCACGTCAAGCCGCTTGGGCCGATGTTGGGACCCTGGGAGAAGATCTTGAACCAGACCGAGCCGGATCCATCCCATGAGGCGGCTGTTTGTCCTGCGGGAACCTTGGCCATGTAGAACTGTAGAACACCGGGGTGCGAGACTGACGCATCGGCCGTGAAACCGACTGCCGAGCCGGCTGCGACTGTCATCGTCTTTGCACCTTCGTTGCCTGGAGCGAGCTGATAGCATCGCATCTGATCGGACGTCACAGACGGCACTACAAGCCCCGAAATCAGCTGGTGAAGTCACGAGACAAGCATGAATGAATGAGTCTCATCGACAGTTCAGAAGTAATAGTAGGCAAAAAGGGTGCGTACCTGGTCCATTGCTCTGGTAGTTTGTTGTCTTCCTTACGTATTCCCACTTGCCAGTTGCTCCGCTGCCGGCAATGAGCGCAGGAAAGGTGTCTACGAAGATCCATTAGTGACGATATAACTCCCAATGGCGAGGAATGTCACTTACAGTGTGCCTGTGCCACTGAGGTGAGGGCGACGAGGGCGGTAAGTATCTGCATCCTGAATATCTAACTCTACGAAACTTGTCAAGTCCCAGCAACACACATAAGACTAGTGCACAAGCAACGCTCCTGTGAGCATGCGCTCGGTTCTTATTACATTTCCCAACTTGCCCCGTCTGGTACGAGCACAGCAGTGAGCCGAATGTCGGTTGAGTGCCATGCCGAAGATTTCTGTCCCTGTCTGATGACGACTTGCAAAGTGCTCGGTTAAGATAGACGGGACGTCAATGAGCGCGTCAACCCGACGGTTAAATAGCGTCGAGGACTACACAGCCAGTGAAATGCAGCCTATACATTGCGCCCAATCTAGATAAATGTGATGATACCTACATAACCACGGGGAACAAGAAGTACCCCAGATTTTATCATCTATGTGAAGTAGTACCGATTCGCTCGAGTGGGTTGGGGGTTTATTTTAATGGGCCACCTGTGCTACTGAGACGGTATCTTTCGGTATCTTTCGGTCTCCTGAGATATATTACTGATGAGACCCCGTGACCCAGTCTCACGCTTTCAGAGGCTTGATTGCCTGTGATGAGGGCAATGAGTCCTGCGAAGTAAGGGGATGGCTTGGAGGTAGAATTACGTGTGTGATGACGACGAGCTAAAGCGAAACTGAAAGATTCTTAAACTCATTGACATTCATACTGCTGCTTATTCACCTCGTTGGCGCTGCTTGGTAGCATAGCTAACATAAGAACGAATAACAAGAGCGATTGTCTACCGGCAACATCTGGTCTGAAATATTGATACTGTAGATGCTCAGGTTAATAGTATAAGTACTATATAAAAAGTCAGAAGCAAAAAAAGTAGCCGACGATACGCGGCAATTTTAGTGCGGCCCTTGTCCACCCACACATGATGATCATCCTATGTCAGTTCTGGATGAGGGTGAATAATAGCATCATGGCAACCTCACTACAAGAGGCATATAATCATCTGTAATTGTAGAGAAGTCTAGGTATTGATTGAAGGGAACGCCGCACTGGGACGAGATAAGTGGCTGACTTGCTTACTGGGAAATCTACCAATGATGGACTTAGGATGTAGCTAGAATTGGTTTAGTTTTCGGCATTAACTCCCGCGTGCCGGGCTCTTCCGCTAGATTATATTCGTTTAGTCTGCTCCGCTACCAACTAGGTTTAATGTCGATCTCTCTTTTTTTCCTCTTGACTACTTTGTCAGACGGAAAACCATCGCTCACGAAATTTAATGGGAACTGGGCTTTTATTGAAACATCTCCTATCGGCTAGAAAGGTACAATCTCAATGGTCTTTCATCGAGTTCAGTCTTCACCACAAATACACAACACTGCTTAGAGAAACACCGAGGACGCCTCTTACAGCAGCCGCGCCCCTCAAGCGCGGAACTTTTTGGCTGAGCAGCCAGTCGGGGTGGGATAGGCGGGAGCAGCTGTGCTAGTCGGGGCAGCCGTCTCCGTCTCTGTGCAAATGTTTCCGGTGGCGGTGAAAACGTGATCGAGGTAGCTGACGCTGCTGGCGGCCGCGGGCTCGGGGACACATGCAGAGATGAATTCGAAGAACTCGTCCTCGTGCTCCCTGCCAAACTCAAGTTGAGCCCCAGCGTATTCTTGGAATTCGGGCAAAAGCGACTGTGGCAGCGCTGACGCGATCGCGCACAGCTGGTCCTGGTGTGCCTTGGGGTCGATGGTTGTGGGGAGCGGGGGGATGCCTGTTGCTGTTGCGATGGCGTCTAGGATGGCTGCTGGTGTCGTTGGCGCTGCCGCGAAGAGAGTGTTGAAGAAAGAGCTCTGGAGGGAGCTGCAGTATGCAGCACCGGATGTCTGGGCTAGCGAGGAGCCTGCGAGAGCGGCCATCGTGAAGAGGACACTGGTGGAACGCATCTTGTCTGTTGGCAAGGACTTTCAAGGAGGTCAGGTTGTTTGTAGGATGGTATTAGGTAGGCGAGTAGTCGTAAGAGTGAAGCTGCAGTGAGGCGATGAAGTGCGTGGCGATTAGAAGCATCCTCCTCTGGCCACGACGAATAGTTTTATATCCATCGAATTTTTCGCCGTGTCCACCATCCTCACGGGACTGTTGGTACCAACTTGCAAGCTCTCAACGCTGCAAATCACATCCTGGACAGGGCAGGGAGTTGCAGAGGTAGTGTACACCGAAGGAATCATTACCCCCTGTTCCGCTATTACAAGTTTTCCTTAACTCCGCGTTGGCCAAGCAAAACATCGCGACATCACAGGCTTCGGTCGGCCATTACCCCCCTCGGCCGCGCACGAGTTTGAATTGCTGACAAAGCCATTACTGAACGGACGACTGCCGGACAGATTGCCAACTAAATTCTCACACCTACGTGCCTGGATTCTCGATCTCGAATCGTCATGCTGGAATAGGCAGTACAGTAATGGAATGATTTCTAATGTGCAATACGACGTAGGCAGATGCTACTGAGAGTGACCCTAACGTAACGCGCTTAGGCATAAAACGTCCGACTATACACCTCCCGATTCTACACTACGGTACAATACGTATATACATTACACTAGATGGCACACTAGGAGCCTACCCTAACCCGATGGGAATAACACGCGAGAACGCGTACCTCCCGCCTCACACAATACCCTCTGGCCCCTATCTGTCCAAGTCCAAGCCTGTCCAGGGCGTATATTCGGTACTCACATACCATGACGCAGTACGCAATGCTCTGGGGCGGTGAAAGACGATCAGTGCTTGGCTACGGCGGTAGGCACTCGGCAATCCTGGGTTCCGTGGGGCGTCCACGGAAATATGGGCAATCCTCGGCCGGCGATTTTACAATTGACTCTACCCCCGAGCCAAGTATATAGTTCCCCCATGGAGATAACAATATTGTAGTAGCGAGAGTATTAATGCCAAGTTACGTGAATAAAGTTGAATGAAATGATGTTCTTAGAAGCAAGGATGAATTCAGCTGGAATTGTAGCATACACACCAGACAGATCTTTGTCAGTCTCTTAACACACTAACATCCGCCTTAGACCTTAAAAGTTGCAATTGACACCCACTGAAGGGGTAAACATGTTACGGAATCGGGTCGAAAACTAAATACGCAAGTGAGCCCTATGCTATTAACTCCCCTGTTAGGACGCATAGAGCAAATTTTCTCAGAGTGGCGCTTTTACATGTACAACAGGGGCTTGTGATAACAATATAGAAGTAACAATGATCTGATTCAACTGCTAACGCTCATATGATTCACTTGAAATGCCTCCGAACGTAGGGTGAACACCTTACGTATCCAGGTTTTTTTTTGTAGGATATATCACTGGATCGGTGTTCCTGACGTCCGAAGTCCGCTAACATTTGTCAAATAAGCGATTACTGATCAGTTTCATTCTAATGAGCATGCTGCTGTTTCCTATGACTCAATAAACATGAATCACCAACAATTGGAGGGGTAGGAAGGCATGTATAGTTGCGAGGTCTTCAAAGGTCCTGGGGCCTAGACCACCTTTGCTCTATACACATTCGGACTCTTTCAGGAACACACTTGAACATCCCCTGATTCGTTCAGTTAAGGGTGTACTACATAGCAATGATATTGTTTGCCGTTATATTCGGTATGTGTAATAGGATGAAATAGTAGTCAGTTCACTAATTACTAGGGCATATATTGAAATAATGGATAGTACCGAGCTGATCAATTAGTACTTCTTATACTTGATTTAGATAAATGTACTTCTACAGGCAATATCTTTCCAACTTGAGAGAAAATAAGGTGCCAAAAGAAAACAATAACATTTGCTATGCAGTCATCAGGCGCGTTATGTCGTTGGTGAAAGTTGCATAATACAGTTCCCTAACCCCGAACGCCGAAGGTTCATGCTGACAAAACACTCATCTCACTCATCTCACTCCTCCTTCTCAACACCACAGGTTCATGTCGTCTCTCCTGTCGCCGTTGTAGGCAAACTGCCGGTATAATGTGAAATCAAAGAGGCGGTGAGGTTACGCGTACAATCTTGACTAGCAACGGAATAACTGTAGGTTATAGTATAGAAATTTTGTTAGCACATTTCATTGCGCTTTTCTACAGCGTTGAATAAATCTACAGGAATAATTAGATGATATAGGAAAAAAAAAAAAGATCTTTCATACAGGTTCGAACACCGAAGACGAAATTCGGAGGCCTCCAAGGCTCAGGCAACAGACATCTTCGCACTGAATGTTGGTATCAGTGAGAGTTATAGCCATTCGTTTAAGTCGTCCTCGTCATCTTCAGTTGTGGCCACCCTGTCTGGTATCACACCGTAATCAACCCCATTCCATTCCAGTCTGGGATGCCCGTCACTTCGCTCGACTGCATTAACCCTGCTGGCTACAGTCCGAATAGAAGCCTCCCCATCGTGATACCAAGTATCCTTACACAAGGGAAGCCGCTCATCAATGTGCAAGTACATCTGTGCCGTTAGATTTCCCATTCGGTGCTCCACGGCATAAATCTCTTCTAGCAGATTGTAGTAAGTAATTTCACAAGAAAAGTACTCGCTCCATTGAGTGGCTGTCCAGTTTAGACCTAGGGTCTCGGTATATAGCCCCCAGAGCTTCTTTTGCTTTGGCGTCCACTCGACTAGGGTAGCTTGGAGCTCGCGTCCATAGGCCTCCAGTTTCTTGAATTCCGCTTCGATCTCGTATTTCCATGACCGTTTGAATCGGCGTCCTTGATTTGAAGAGTACGTTATAGGAACACCCTTCTGTCTATCCTCGTCATCGCTATCGTTGCCGTCTTTCAATGATGTATTGGGACAGTCTACCTCTTCACTAATGGGCGTCGTCGTCCAGTATTCTCCTGCAAGTCGCGACTTGTTCTTGTCGTTCCTCACCTTTTTCACCGATACGCTGCGCGTGGGTGTTGTGGTTAGCACATGAGGCTTCTCTCTTATTACCCACCGTTCGGATGATGGCGGGGGCGCTGAGCGGCATCGCTCATGTAGCATACGCTCAACTTCGCTCGGATTGGGATGATCAAACATTGTGTCTGTAGCTGACGGTACAATACCTTAGTACTCGAGAATCTGCCAAACTTTCGAGAACGATGTGGCGCTGCTTTTAGTAGCCCACGCTAGGCAAAGATGAAAGAATTTATTGTAAATAACATAGTGGTTGAGCTGCGAAACAGAAGGACAAAGCGAGTAATAGCGCCATTGATGGTCGAACCAAAAAAAGAGATTGATATAAACATTAAAACAATGAGCTTGTTGTTGCTTGTGGGTGTTTAGCCAGCTCCCGTAAGTAGAAATATACTATTGACTTAATACAGTGGTGTGCTATCTCTCTCTACGAAGTGCGCGGTAGTTGTCGAAGTGATGCTACTGATACTGAGATTAGACCTACATATACTTCTGGCTTACAGAATTCGGGTAGCATAGCTTGCCTGGCAGCTTCAAGAAAACAGTCCAAGAGAACCTGTATTCTCCCACAATGAGCCCAAGATGTGATTTCGAGATAGTCAGACTATATGTCAGCAATAAACTGATTAGATTCTGAGAGCTAGTAGAGTATCGCTCGATACGAAGGCGTGTATGCAGTCTAGTCGGTTCACCAATGACCGAAGAGCGTTAATAGAAAGATACAATAATACAGAGAATATTTTAGAACGCCAGTCTGATGTACTTCCTGCTTGTTTTCATTCCAAGTTGTATCGCTTCTACATTCTACTGCGCCGACCAGCTTAATGTCCAGTTAGACGTCCAGGCTCCCTTTGCAGTGAATGCATCCAGTCCTTCGACCTTGAGTACCCCAGTCCCGGCGTCTAAATGCCAGGTCTCAGAATCAAGCTTAGCATCGCCGAAAGCAACTTCGTGCACCTCTCCCTCTACCCCGAGAATCGTCACATAGCCCAGCGGATTCTTATCCCCATCGTAAGTACCGGATCGCGTTACTGTAAGTGATGATTTGGACACAGAGAACTATTTGGATGGGGTTAGTAAGGGATTCATGATCCTGTAGGTAATGCATAAGAAACTCACGGTAATCCAGGCTGTAGCCTCAGGTTCCAAACTCTCCCCATCGTCGAGATATAGGTTGCCACTCGCCTCGCTGTTCACGTCAAGCGCCGCGAGTAATGACCAGGGACTGGCCCTTACAGCCGTGGTAGTTAACCCCGGCTCCTGCATCGGTATCACGCTGCCGCCGCGCACAAACACAGGGATGTGACCCAATGGCGCAGAGATCGTCATATTTTGCCCAGCCTCAACGTTAGTGACGCGTGTCTGGTCGTACCAATCATACCAGATTGCGCCAAATCCAACGCCAGGGAATACACCATCGACAGTTGTCGCGCCCTGCTCAAGGACGGGGGTGACGAGGAGTGCACTGCCTAGCATGAACTGCCGGTCCGCGTCAGCTAGCCAGGGCTCCTCGGGGAACTCCCACGCTAATGCCCGCATCGTCGTCGATCCGGTAGAATGGCTCAGGAAGAATGTGGTGTAGATGTACGGAAGAAGGGCGTAGCGGATCTTCATCGCCTTTTTGCTCGCCTCTATAACGGAGGGCCAGAGATATGGCTCTTGGGATATGGCGTTAATCTCATTGTGGTTGCGATAGAAGGGGAAGAATGCGGACAGCTGCATCCAGCGGTTGCAGAGCTCCTCGGTAGCGTTACCGGAGAAGCCGCACGTGTCGACTCCAAACATGGGCATGCCGTATAAAGAGAACGAGAGGGCTTGGGGGATAGAGAAGTAGAGATATGGCCAGTTTGAGTAGTTGTCACCCCTAATGTCTTGATAAGCTTTCGATACTACCAACAAAGGGGAGGAAGAGCGGAAGACTTACCCCCAGTGGCCGGCAACGCGGCCAGAGCCTGCAAAGGTAGAGCGCCCGATAATAAAAGGTCTCTTCTTTGGAGAGATGTTCAACAGAGCGTGGTATGTCGCATTCAGGAGCTGGTGGCCCCAGACATTATGAAAATCGTACTGTACAGTCCCATCGCTATGCGTCGCGTTAGGGCTTAGTGTTTTACCGGCGAGCGCGCCATGGTAGTTGTTAATGGCGTAAGGAGGAAAATCAACATTGCGAGGATCGGAGAGTGATGAGCCTGTCGTGCCGGATGAAGATGTCGAATCTGGGGCAATGAACCCGTAATCTCTCTCACTGCTACCGCAACTTCCCACGCAGAACGAGGCTACCTCGGACATGTCGATCCATATGCCATCAAATGGAATCTTTTTGTGATACTCAGTGACCTCGGATATCCACCACTGATTAACAGGAATGCCTGAAAACAATGCGCCAATCCAGTCCGCCCACGCTGTGATTCTTTAGTATGTTGACGTTACTACTATTGCAGGGGATACTGTATTTACCACAATAGCCAGGCCAGACTTGTCCTATATATAATGACCCATCAGGATTAGAAACAAAAACACCTTGTTCGAGTCCTCGCTCAAACGGGGGATACTCGTCACTCTCATTGCCTGGTATAGGCACATAGATCCCGGCATCAATAATTGGGATATAGTGCTGGTTGTTTTCATGAAGGTCCGCGAGAAATTTGGCACCAACATCGTAAGGATAACGATCCGGGTCGTTCTCAAAGTCCCGATACGCCTTCATGTAGTCAATGTCATCTATACTGAAAGTCAGTACGCTATGCAGGTGTGGACATGATTTGAACATTGAATAGATAACCACATACTCCAAACTGTTTCGAGAGGGATTTCGTGCTTGGCGAAGTTGTCGACGACTTCTTGAACAACTGTCCAATTTTGATAACCCCACCGACACTGATGGTAACCAAAGGTCCAATACTGTTGCATCGCGGGAAGCCCAATAGTGCTCTTTTGGTACGTCTTCGTCACTTCATCCTGTGTCGGGCCTCTGAAGAAGTAGAGATCAATAGTGCCACCAAGGGACCTCCAGGTGATCCTAGATTCTCGTAAAAGAACCTCCTGTATATGCGCATTCCGATGAAACACACCGTGAGTGAATGACTTGTATTGGGCGGTCTTATCGGTAGGATGAGCAGCATACTTCATGCTGCCATCCTTGGTGACAGTGAAATATCGCGTATCAAGGTAGATGGGGTGGAAGCCATATAAATTAGCGTCAATAATGTCACCAACATCGGCGTTATATAGGGTTCCTGCGTCGATCAGTTACACGCCTCACGCTAAACGTATAGAGGCTCTACATACTGGTTAGATTATTCCCCAACCGAAAACTATGAATGGTTTCACCCAAGCCATATAAGTTGTAATTCTCAGGTAGGGCCGAGGAGAACTCTATGAATTGGTCTTGATAGACAAGCTGAGAGCCACCGGTCGTGAATAAAACATCACTCGTGCTCTTCCGCGTGACCTGGAATGAGAAGGTGGGCTCATTACTCCATGTGAAGTCAAGATCGCTCTGAGGTTTAGTGTCCTCGTTTTCAGGTTTGGGCTTCGGTAGCAAGGCATCCGGGAGGATGAACCATGACTGATTATTTGGGCCCAAATACTTGGGTAGTATTTCGACATGAAGTCTGTCTGCTGCCTGGTACTCGACAACGAGGCTGAGAGCCTCAACGTCGGTACCGTATGCATTGCAAGGGCCACCGGCCAGGATTAAATCGGCCGTCAAACCTAGGGGGGTCTCTATCACGTTGGACGCCTTGTACCCAGGACAAACGGACTGAGGATCTACAGCGTCCGGGTCATGAATATTCGGAATAACGGCAACATCGTCCCGCGAAGGCAGTACATGCTCAGCAGGAGATGGTGACGGAAGGGACAATACAAGACTAGCAAGGATAAAGAGCATGGCAGCGAGCAGGATCATGACTCGTGACGTCTCTCCACGGCGTTTCTTGACACGTACGGAGGCATAAGACACAAAAGACGAAGACGCGAGGATGCTCGATAGGAGGAGGAACTGAGAAAGCGGGGTCAAGTGGTCGTACCAGTCTGCAAATCTGGTATAGAATAGGCTAATAGCATGATGTGGTAGCGGTGGCGACCATGCCGCAGCGACTGTTCGGACATGATGTGTAGTCATTGTGGCGGGAGGCGTTGATGAATGCTCAGAAGGATAAGGCACACATGGCTATCCAGGGAACACACAACTCAGCTGCCTCTCTTGTCAAAGATGTGTACGAGTTTCAGGGAGTAGGAAGAAGACGGTATTGTCACTTCGACTTCCCGCACTAAATTCTACCTCTCATACAGCACGTCCTTTGTGGCAGAGGCTTGGGGGAGAACTGAAGCGTGATGGGAAGAGGGACGAGAATGAGAGGCCTGTAACAAGTGGTACAGTACGTACGTTTGTAGGTACTTAGGTATTACTTAATGAATATCAACCTGCGAGCTCAGATGGTATGATTAATTGTCAACAGATGAAATATCAAAGATAGCATCCATCACATTACTCCGTGAAAGAGATGCAGATTAATATTTGGATGAAGGATAGGTAAGTAGGGACGGAGGAGGTTGAACGGACTCTGGTGCTTGCAGGGATGGTGCAGCTCTCCTGAGCTCTCCCCCGCAAAGAGCCCCTCGTCAGTACCGAGTGGAATGCTAATGCAGGGGATTAGGTAATCCGATTTCTTTTGTTCTCCTTCCCTTGCGCTCCCTTTTCCGTATCTGTATCTTCTCTTGTATACCAGATATTTTATTGCTTAAGATTTTCTCTTCTGTCATTGAAATAATTGGGTAGGGACCTGTAAGACTTGCATACACTCATAGTTGGCCCTAGTATATACCTGTAGCGTAAGTCCCTACCCCAGACTCTAGGTGCTCTATACTAGGTACACTAGATGGGCCTAGGTTAGGTTGTTTTAGTGCTCAACTCACCTACGAACTTGTATAAATTTGTGTACTTTAGGTACCTACCTACCTACTGGGACTTTCATCATCCACCCTCAACGACAATCCACGGCCGACGAGCATTCCTCTCAACAACTATCCGTCGCGCTGATAGCAACACGACGACAATACGAAATCATTGTTCCATTCCTCGTTGTATTCCTCTCCTCTCTTCATCCTGCTCCATCGACGGACATATATAATCACACAAAACCATGGCAGCAGCCACGACGTCGGCCCCCCCGTCCGACAGAGAGCTCGCACAGCGCATCCTCGACCACAGCGCTCCAAGCTACACCTTCAGCTTCTCGCCTTTCCTCCGCCGCACCTACGGCCACGGCAACTCGTCCAGCCGGTCCCCGTGCAAGGCCTTTCTCGCCGGCCACTGTCCCCTAGGCTCGCAATGCCCAGATTCACATACTACCGCCGCCTCCTCCTCCTCCTCCTCGGGAGCCAATACCTCATCATACAACTCCCTCGTGTGCAAGCACTGGCTGCGCGCGCTCTGCAAAAAGGGCGAAGGATGCGAGTTCCTGCACGAGTACAACCTGCGCAAGATGCCCGAATGTAACTTCTTCGTGCGCAACGGGTACTGCTCCAACGGCGACGAGTGTTTGTATCTTCACATCGACCCGCTGTCCAAGCTCCCCCCTTGTCCGCACTACGAACGAGGCTTCTGCCCGCTTGGCCCGAATTGCAGTAAACGACATGTGCGAAGGAAGTTGTGCGTGTGTTATCTCGCTGGGTTCTGTCCCGATGGCAAAGCGTGCAAGGAAGGTGCGCATCCTCGCTGGGATAAGAATCTGGATACGGAGAGACCTGTTGCGAAGAGCGAAGTTCCTGTGCCTGAAAGAGGAGGGGGCGACGAGGATGAAGATATGCGCGATGCTGCCTTTGGTGGGAGGAGGGGTGATCGCGATGATAAGTTTGGTGGCAGCGCGGCAAGAGGAGATCGCTTTGGTGGAGGACGGGGCGGCAGGTGGCGTGGGAGAGGGGATAGGAAGTTTAGGGGCAGAGGACATCATTGAAACAGCACGAGTCAAGCGCTGAGTTTCCAGCAATGGTATCAGGCTGCATCTGGCACCGAGTCCAACTAAGGAGTGAGAAGGACGGTTTGACTACGTTGTCTCCCCCCAGCAAAACGACGTCTTTTCTTCGACCATCTGCCACTACTGCCCGAGATTGCATTATAATCTAACGACAGCGCGGCACAGGACCGCATACAGTGTCATCGATACGCGGCTGAGGAAGCCAGCCGCTGAAGCAGAGAGAACGACAAGAAGAAATGATTTGCTTCATAGTCTCGAATAATTGTCATTCTCATCACCTCGCCGAGGGGTTGTAACATCTCTATACACTACAATCCATCATGTACCTAGGCTGCGGAAGCGAACCATGGCAGCCAAAATTCTAAACAAAGTAGATAGATTAGATAGATAGATACCCGAATGACAAACATAATTTACAATCGAAAAAAGGCGCCGGTTTTCACTCAACAACTGACATGCCTAGTTCGTATTGATATCATGATTTTAGTTTATTCTTGTCCATCATGACAATGCTAGCCACGAGGCACAGGCTTGTTTGCGAAAATACTTTCTTTCCAAGAGCCGTTTAAAATGGAGCTTGCATCCAAGTATGTACGTACGAATGCTTGTCCTCGAAAAATGCTACTACACCTTAAACGCCCTATCCTATAGATCATGACTTGTGTAATCTCGTAATGACGTTAGAAAAATCCCACCCTCTAAATGCTTTTCCCCCCCTCCAACCCGTTCATGTCGTTTTATCATACGTTAGGTACTTATGTATGTACTTTTAGTCCTTCCAGACACTGCAACGGTGAGAGGGTTAGTCAGTGATTTGCATCATCTCACGGGGCGTTATAACAAGCGTCGAGGTCAGCTGCACAATATCGCTTTTTAGCGTGATCATTTAACCCCCCGGCGGGGACGCTTATGAACTGATCAAGTGAGACTAGCTGAGCTCTGGGAGTCAATCACTTACTTGGAACCGATTTCGGACCCTCGGCCCACGGCTATATACTCGCGCGGCTCTTCCTCATCCTCGCTGCCAATGCTGCTGCGGCTACTGGGGCGCTCCCACGTGCTCAGCTCGTCGACCTTGCGGATGCCCATCATCCACGCCACGAGCCCGCGAGGTGCCCACCGCCCGACGAACCCGTATAGACCGGCACCGAGCCCCACGCGCACGACATCGCTCTTGTCCGACCCGTCAAGCACGTCGAACACGGCGGTGTGAAGATCTCGCAGCGAGCTGCCCTTGAGACCCCGGATCCGTCCCGCCGAGATGGCCGACGCCGACTGCGACTCGTAGTTGCGGGCGTAAGCAAGGCGAGCGGCTTCGGGCCACTGCTGGGTCTCGGCTGACGGTGGCAGGAAACCCGGGTTGTGCGGCCCACGGGCGGGTACGAAGCCGGTGAAGTCAAAGGTACCGAGCTGTAGGTGCGTGACGGGGATTTGAAGTGGACGCAATTCAGCCGTAAGAACCTCTGTGAAGGCTGAGAGGGCCGAGCATACCGTTGCTTCAGGAGCGTGGAAGGGCGGGTTGATGGAGGAAATAATGGAAGGCGTGAAAACAAGAACCTTGGGGGTTGAGGTGGAGTGAGTTTCTATGACAGGCTTCTCGCCCTCGCCCTCGCCCCCGCCGGTCTGAGTCGGAGGGGGTGGTGCCAGGCGTGATGTGAGGAGCGGGAGGAAGGCTTGGATTGTGAGGATGGGCTGTAATAGGTGGGTTTTGAAAAGGTCGGCGAAGTTGGAGGGTGGAATGGTGGCTATGGGGGAGGTTTGATAGTGCAGAGATGGGATGAGAATGATGGATGTTAACGTTAGGTAGTTAGGCTTTGCTCGTGGGACGGCAGCATGGGGTGTCTGGAGAAAGGCAGCAAAACGATCAATCGACGCGCCTGCGCTAGGGGGCTATTATACAGGGAAAAATATGTCAGTTATTGTTCATCTTTTGGCGAGTCTGGTTCAAGGCGGGGCGGGGGTTGCTCACGTCGGTGATATCGATGCTGAAGCCCCGGATGTCGGGCCGTGACATGTTCTGCACCATGACCTCGTCCTCGATGGTGTTGCACACAATGTAGACGAGGAAACCTCTCCTCTCGAGATCCAGGGCCAGCGACTTTGTCAGTGGGAGCGAGGGCGATCCGGCGATGACGACGACCTCGAGGCGGCCACCGTTCTTGGCGCGCCTCGCCCGTCTTGACTTTCGGACCAGCTTGCTGTGACGAACGGCGCGGTACGTCACATAGCCGGTGACGCAGACGAAGACAGTGGTGGCAAGCTTGTGGCGTGACACCCAGGCTGTCATACTGTCCCAGGTTGACATTGGTGCTACGGGGACGGATGGCGGGGCAGAAGGTGTCGGTCTCGCATAGTCGGGAACCCACGATGCCGTAGCCAAGGTATGGCGAACGTTGTCGGCGGCCTTGTCGACGGTCTTGTCGAGGAAGTCGGCGACGCCCTCGGAGTACTGGCGGACGTGGTTGGGAACCGAAGAGAGCTGTCACAGCGGTTAGGTGCCGACGCAAGCATCGAGGAGTGCCTGGTGCCGAGGGATAGCGGTGACTTACCAGGTCCCAGAACTGCTGGTCGTCTGCCGACATGTTGTCTGGTGGTCTGGTCGTCGGTCGTCGGTCGTCGGTCGGACCAGCACAATGTTGAATTATGTAGAATTATGTCGAATTATGATGAAAAAGAGCGGGATGGGAGGGAGGGATAGTTTTCTTAGTTCTTTTCTTAGTTCTTTTGTCTTCTGGAGAGGTTGGGTATGGCTGCCGTTTCCGCTCTCTCCCGCTACTCCCCCTAAGTTCGCCAATGGTGCACGACTTCGGGGTTGATACGGGGTTGATACGGGGTTGATAGGGTATGTATTAGGTATGTATGGAATAGTTGGGTGGAAAGAGTGGGATCGTGGGTCGTTGAAGGAGGAGTTCGTTTTCACCTTGGTAGGTCATCTGCCTTATCGATGCTTTATCTCTTCGATAGTGCTGTGGTAAGTACCTATGTCTCTCCATCTACAGGCAGTACCTACTGTACAGGTCAGGTATACTTAGGGGGTCAGAACTAGTCTACAGGTAGTCTACAGGTAGTGGACCTTCCTAAACACCTACCTAGGTAGCGTTCACCGACACGTAGAGAGCCCTGCGGGGGAGTTTGCTCGCTGGCAGTGTCAGGTACACCCTTAGGTACTGTACTGGTATGATGGTATCTATCCATCTCACCGCCTCATACTCGTCATCATGAATTCAAGGATTGTAAAAAACTATCACTTGAATTTTGCCTATGTAAGATCCAAGTTCATCGTATTTGTTTGTTTTATGAAAAAATTACATTCGTACTCATTACTACTGCTAGGAACTAGCTTATGCAAGCCATGTTTCAGTCTAAGCATCGTTCACAACTGCTCCTGACGACGCCTCCATCCTCGAATTCCGTCCTGTTGTTCTCGCTCTCCTTGTCTTGTCGCTGCTGTTTTTCTAGGAACTCGTTGCAAAAGGGATAGTCTATGTATCCTGCAGCTTGGTGTGGCACATAGAATGTATCCCGGTTATAAGCGCAATACCCTCGCGGATGCGGAACGCTAAGACCGTCCAAACATGACTACAATATTCTTGTCCGGAAATTCAACATCCACCAGCTGCCTCGCGCTCTCTGCTGTGAAGCCGCCTCCTACGAGCAAAGGACCTTTCCACAGATCGTACGCGAACTTGAGCGTTTCGAAGGGACCCGGCGGTCTTTCCGCGTCTTCAATCCCCGTTGCCCGTGCCCCTATAAGGTGAAGGTACGCGATGCCGAGCTCTGATAGCCTGCCGATTAGATCGGAAAACTGCGGTACCGGGTCTCTCATCCTCATGCCATTGTACGTGCTCCACTGACTGAGCCGGATGCCCGCCCGTTGCGGTCCAATGGCCCGGCTCAGCGCCGTCACCAGCTCTACGCCGTCACCAGCTCTACAGCGAACCGAGACCGGTTCTCGATGCTGCCGCCATATATATCCCCGCGCCTATTGCAGGCGTCCTGTGTGAACTGGTCGATGAGGTAGCCGTTGGCCCCGTGGAGCTCAATGCCGTCGAACCCTGCTGCCATCGCGTTCTTCGCCGCCTGTATGTGGTTATCAATCTTCCCTTGTATCTCCTCGGCCGTTAATTCTCGAAGGGCTACCTCGCCGGCGTGCAGAGGTATGGCGCTCGAGCTATATATGCTCATGCCCTTTGCCTTGGCGAATCCCCTGATTGCGCCGCGACCGGGCACCCAGAGCTGACAGAATATGTAGCTCCCTTTGCGGTGGATAGCATCTGTCACCTGTCGCCCGGCCTCGATCTGTTGCTCGTTATAGATTCCCGGCACATTGGGGACTCCTCTGTCGAGTTCTGATATGAACGTGCCTTCGCTGATGAGCAGTGTACCGGGAACGCATGCTCGTTGACTATAGTACTCCATCATCATCCCGAGACGAACGTGGTCGTTGGAGACTGGCAGGCGTGTCAGTGGGCTCATGTCAACGCGGTGGGCTAGTCTCATGGTACCAACATATATTGGGCGAATAATCTAGACGACTCCATAGTGGCTATGGTTTTGATTCTTTATTAGATATAGACGCTTATGATTATGTGGTTGCTGATATATTTAAGGCGCATGAGCGTGGCCTCGAGCTCGCTTATATTCATAACCATTTCTTCTTGGCAGATTCCTTGATAGTGGTTTACTTCCTTGCCTACCATTGCCGTACGGGTAGTTAGAAGAGCAATAGCAATGCAAGGGTACGTCGTTGTGTGTTTCAGCTCCTTAGGACAACAAGATGTTTTCGCTTTCAAGTTTAGGACATGGTTTGCCAAAAGCCCTTGTGTAATAAGGCAAGCCTTGTGTTCTTGGTCTTGGTTACTGATGTCTTGATGAACTATGTCATAATTCACCACCTGATAACATTGCTCGTTATTTATAGCTATGTGTAACCTATTCCGCGAAACAAATGTGCCGCGCTTATGCTGATCATGTTTGGTCTTGCCGAGTGTTGAGCAATGAAGCTGTCCCTTGCGAGCTGGTAAGGACGTCCCTCCCTTCTCTCCACCTCGGCTGACCAGGTTCTGATGATCTCCTGAATCATGAGAAAATTAGTGTTCATCCCCACTGCATTCGAGTCAGCTGAAATTGAACTTGTTGGATTTATCAATTTCCTGGCTTCTTTCATGTCTCAGTCAGCCGTTTATGGTCAGAGGCAAAGCCCCGGGCCCTATTTCAACTTACAATTCTTTTCCTATGTCAAATATAAGACACTGACGTCGTTTATGTAGCACGATTTGTACTTCAAGTGTAAAGTGGTGATCCTAGGAAAGATGGCTGAGAAGGAGTATCATTGCTTGTGAGTTGAGATTCAGTAATTTCAAATATAGTCAGATGGCCACTCTGTAAGATATTATGGAATACTCTCACCTGGTATTGGGCTGGGATTATACTACCTTACTTGCTATATACATTAGTTATGTTGTTCTTATGACTCAATCCTACGTTGATTGCAATATGATTATACATTAGCTATTAAACTGTCACACAGAACCTACCATTGCTTAGTTTCGTTAACATTCAAGACCCCACAATACATAGGTGTAGTGGTTGCATAAACCAGTTATACTGAGAGACCGCGATCGATTATATAAGCATAAGACGTCCGGTGTCTCTATCCCCTTGCCGTAAAGCCTTTTTAGCTGCTCACATCCTGATATCTAGCATCAGAGAGAGACTAATGTTAAAAAAACAGTATCGCATCACGCATTTTAGTATGGGTTTAGCTTATTCAAGGCTCGAATCCTGAACTCTTTCAGACATGTGCTTCATTTAACCTGCGGTTCGAGGACCATAGAAAGGGCGCCCCGCTGCCACCCAACAGCAATATCCCATGAGGTAGGATTAAAATCGTTTGAGGCGTTGTAGAAATGAGTATTTCTCATCTTCCCATAGATAGGCGGATAGAAGTTGCGTCCAGGTAATCCGCACTGTCTTTATCATTTCTACTACAATGGGCGTCCCTACATTCAACACAAAGCATGTATATATCCTTCCATTTGACGTCGTATATATTATGTAGCACTTCTTACTTTATTGTGTATAGGCCTAACTGGCATTCCATCCCTGTGTGTCTGATGGCTACCATTCTCTTCTTCGCTTCTGACAGTTCTGACAGCTATGGAGCAGAGAGCTAAACTAGTGTGGCATGTATGGTGGCGCTTACAACGATGTGGGGTGGGATGTGATTGTGCCGTCGGCGGCTTTTGTGATTATTACCATTGCTGCTGCTTTTTCCTTACTCCTCTGTTAAGCTAGTAAGGGCTAGGAACGTAAAAGAGAAGAACAGGAAAGGATCGTCTAGGAAGGCGGCTTTCAGCTTAAGCCAACTATGAGACCATTAGTTTCATATCGGCCTTTTCTTCATTTTATTGCTCAGTGTAGATATAAACACGCCTGATCTCCAGAACATTCTACTAAATTCGGGACTATGGAAGCCTCCGACTATGATTATCGATGACCAGAGCCTTTAGAGTATCAATGTGGCTATGATCGCTTCCAAGCACTCGGGTACGTTTCACGGACGGCGACTCAATTCTAGCCGCCGTGGAACACGGTTTTAATCATGGGATTGCATCTTGGTCACTCATATCCAAGTACCGCTTGACAGTCATTGCAAGACGAGGATTTTTCGGAACACTTATGTTTCAGCCAGGGATATATACGGAATGTCTCTCCGTTATAACTCCCAAGGACCCTCGAGGACTCCCCCAGGAACTTATCCAGGTGATACGGTGCTAGTGATGTAGACAAGAAGATCTCTGCTGGCGGTAGTCACTCTCTTACCACGGACGGCTAGCAGACGACATCGGATGGCCCGAAGGTCAAGTGTTGAGTGCACAGGTATGCCATTGTGGCGCCACGTTGTCGTGCTGCTCAACTTGATAGTATGTGATTATGAACGTCAACTATGGCATTTGGAGAATAATAAAATAAGAATGGGAAATAATAGTTAAGCCTCATGAGCACATTTAAGTTAATACCTTGAGTGATATTGGATATATTAGTGTTGAGTCTTTTAAACTACATTTTGAACATTTGCTCCAATTGCTTGGCCTGCGCTGTTGCTCGATAATTCAGCGCAGATCAGTAGCTCTTTTGAACTGGCACCATCATTTTGTGGCTTGAATCTAGCGGCCTTATTCGTTCAGATCACCGCCCCAATTTATGCGAAGAAGATGGCTTGTGTGGAGTGAGAGCGAGAGCGAGAGCGTGAGAGAGCTGATGGCTGATACACATCAGCCGTCATGCGGAATATTACGCACATGTCTATCTGTGCGACGAAAGGAAGCTGCTATCGTTCTCATCAGCTCCTGTCTCTTCCGCTAAAGTGAGGATAGATATAATTTGTCAGGCCGATGTTTACTGTAGCGAATACAGAACTCGGGCAGCAGTTTTTTCAAGATTAGATGTCCAATTGGGGGAAAGGGTGTAACATCTTATATTACATCAGGTCGTTCGAACCATGGTACAGGCCGTGCCCCGTGTTCATATCGGCTGTGTGACAATAATGCAAATAACGTCATCCCTAGTCTGGAACATATGTCCGACATATGCGCAATCACTAACAGATGCTGCACTATTTCTTCAGCGTGGCGGCATCGACCATTACTATCGTCCTTTTCTTCTCTTCTCTCCTCCACGTACATTCATCCCGCGGTTAACAGACCCCTCAGTGTCCAGCCACGAAGCTCCCACTTCCTATACAGGATTCGCCAATATGTCGTACAGCATGCAGTATACATATTGAGCCTTTTGTTCTCTCGGGCCGAGTGCATAGATGGGAACCACAGAACCCAAAAGGCCTCAGCATCTTCTTTTCGACAGCCCAGGCGTGGCATGACGATTGACCATCTTTATGACCGTCAGGGATATAACATAGCTTGATGGGGAGAGTATCAGCGCCCCTCTAATTCACGGAAGCCAAGACACCTCACCCCGCCAACTACACCACGATATTCGTTGTCGTATGCCCAGCTGGACTGCCACGATGACCACACTACAGATCGACTCCGTCACAGTTTGTGGCCGCATGAGCCCCGTTCTAGACGTTACCCCTTCCAGGTGTCTAGTTGCACTTTTCATTCTTTTTGTTGCCTCCTATCCCCTATATTCTCTATACCTGCACCCACTTCGAATCTATCCCGGGCCGAAACTGTCAGCCATCACTCGCATACCGTATTGGATTGCCTGTCTCAAAGGAGACCAGGTTCGATGGCTGGCAACTCTACACCGTCAGTATGGCCCCGTGGTGAGGTTTGGGCCGGATGATCTCAGCTATGCCGACGGGCGGGCATGGAAAGACATATGCCTCGTTCCCAAGGGCAAGAAAGAGAACGTAAAGGATACTGCCTTCCACGCTCCATCCGCCAACGGAGTGCCAAACATTGTCTGTCAGAATGACATTGCCCACCACGCGAGATTGAGACGTGTTTTATTACCGGCATTTTCCGAGAAGGCTCTCAAGGCCCAGGAGCCGCTGCTTCAGAAATATGTCAACCTCGTGATTGCCAGGGGTCGCGAAATGCGTGAACTCGACATGTCAAAACTTATGAATTTTGCAATGTTCGATATCATGGCGGAATTCGCTTTTGGGGAATCGCTACACATGTTGGAGCAGGGTCAATACTCGGACTGGGTTGCGAAGGTGTTTAATTCCATAAGGGTAAGTCGAGCCATCCAGAGAAATGGCAGAGAAGCGTTACTAACATAGCTAGATTTTACCTCTTGTTCAAATGATTGAGCATTATCCCATGCTCAAGAAGATATTCGCTTTCATTGAGCCTAAAGCTATCGCCAAAATGCGCCACGACCATTTCAATCACACAGTAATGCGCGTCAACAAACGGCTGAATAGTGGATCTGACCGACCTGATCTCTGGGACCTCATTCTAAAATCTGAAACTCTTACGCTTGAAGAGATGCATGTGAACGCGGAGCTGTTCATGGCCGCTGGCACGGAGACTACTGGTACACAGGCTCTTCCTTCATATTGGCTACAATCATAATCTAACTTGCGCTAGCTTCTGTTCTTACCGGATTGATTCACTATCTTACGGCAAATCGCGACAAGATGAAGAATTTGACAGATGAAGTCAGGACGCGGTTCAGACATAGCGAGGAAATCACCCTAGAAACCACCGCACCTCTGAGGTACTTGAATGCTTGTAAGGATAACTGAAAATTGTTGGTGTGCCTATGGTATGATTAACCCCTCTCCGAATAGGTATTCGAGAAGTCATGAGGATCTATCCTCCAGTTCCATCCGGTCTACCACGCATAGTCGCAGAGGGTGGCAATTCTATCCTGGGTAAATGGGTCCCGGCAGGCACTCGTGTATCAGTGCACCAGTATTCTACTTACCACTCTCCAGAGAACTTCAGGTAAGTTTACTGTTATATGATATTGTATAAACTCGATTACCATTCAATTAGGCTAACGCCGTGTGCTTCCCAGAGACCCCGAAAGATTCGTGCCCGAACGCTGGCTTGGAGACCCTGCGTATAAGCATGACAACCGTGATGCACATCAGCCGTTCTCAGCTGGCACTCGAAACTGTTTAGGCATGAATTTAGCGTGGCATGAAATGAGATTGATGCTGGCGAGGCTAGTTTACGAGTTTGACATTGAGTCAAACTCTGGGCCCGACTGGCTCGATCAAAATGTCTATGTTATCTGGGATCGGAAGCCCTTGATCTGCCGATTGAAGCAACCCGCACCACAGAGATGGATATTCTAAAGGCGGTCGCAAAAAATCCAAATTATTAATAATTGCAGTCGGCAACTTTGGTAACCACTCATCCCATCCTTTATTTCTCACACATCATCTCGTCGTTATTTGTCTTCATCAAGCTTGTCGGCATTTGCTATCATTTCTTCTGATCTTTCTCTGAATTCTTTCATTATCACTACATTGGGAGCTGGTGTCTCTAGAAGACAATAGATAGCTGTGGAGCAGGCCGAGCCGCTCCTCTATCCATACAGCAAACTCGCCACAGCCATATTCTAGTAGGATTTGTTCAGTCTCCCTCGATCAGGGTATCTGGTCTGTAATGTCCCAAGTGGACATGTGCCGACGGGGGTTTTTATGTCGGATTATGAGTTAATCGAAATGTTTGTTTATGAGTTATACATGGCCAGTCCTTTTATAATAAGTTCGTTTTTGGCCATACATAGTGGTGGCCTTATGGCGCGGTCGGTGGAACTCCGTGCAGGAGCGTGTAATAAATCTTTGCCTACATGTTTTAAGATGGTTCATAATTACAGCATTAGCTTTGTGCACATGATATGTGACCTTGATTATAGGCATTCTCCAAGTCCTATACGTAGGAGCTTGGATATCTCTTCCACCTCTTGCTCCGTTATACGCTGGCCGCCCATTATGTAAAGAACATTACCGAGTACTCTCGAGTGCACATTCCAGGATCCAATTGATACACTTCCAGAACCAGCTAAAAGCCTTTTACGTAGGCCTTCTGCGGCCCTACTCGCATAGCCACTACCATCAGATGCACGTAGATGTATAGCCAATACGCTCCCCATAGCCCAAACGCCTGCCACTCCCTTAGTCTGAAGAGAAATCCACTGAATTAAGTCTAGCGGCCAGATTGACCAAACTCGGGGATTAGTCTGAGAAAGCTTCGAGTAGATGTCGTTGTTCGCTTGCAACCAGCCGTTAGATTTGGCCCAGTTCCAATTACCAGATTTATCCATTGACTGTAACTGTTTCAGAGAATCGATCGCTACCTGGCAGCCGACAGGATGGGCTGTGTAACTGTGGCCATGAAGTAGCGCATCGGATTTCTCTTCACTTGCAAAAGCATTGAATATGCATTCTGAAGCTAAGGTGACGCAAAGAGGGACTAGTCCGCCAGTCATCAGCTTGGCATGAACTGATATATCGGGGTTTGAATCGAGAAAGGTGGCAGCCATGGGTCTCCCCAGCCGATAAAGGCCGGTGAAGACTTCATCAAAGACGACGGGTAGGCCACTCCAGCTCCTGTTGTCGCTAGGGCGAGTTCGTGAATTTCCCGAACCAAATATCGAAGGATTCTGTCGAACTACATCCACCAAAGTCTTCTGGAAAAGGGGATCGCTATACCACCGTTAGTTGGCCGTGATAAGGACCATATGGCGACGATAAGTTTGAATTGGCTTACACTAAAACCATGCCTCCTGCTCCAAGCACAACTGGCTCGAGGATCAAGGCGCCAAACTTGCGACCTTCATCTAGATGCCTCTGTAGAGTAGAAAGAATATATTTCTCATACAGCTTGTGATCCCCATAGCCTATACGTTGTTCGAGATTGAAGATATCAGTAAGATGGGGAAAGCGATGATTGCAGTCTGTGCCAAATTCGTTGGGAGCTTGAATTTGCCATTCGCCTGCAACACATTGAATCTGCGGGTAATCGAGCCAGACACCTTTCCCTTCATACCATTCCACCTTCTCATTGAATGTATTCGGTTCAGCGCAATCCATTGTACCGATAGTGTCACCATGATAAGAGCCCTTGAGTCCTAGGATATCAATCTTCGTATCGGGGGACCAGCCGTACCGAGTGCGAGCCGCACGCAGAGCCATCTTGACTGCAACTTCCATGCCCGTGCTCCCGTTATCTGAGAAGAAGACACGGCTTAGGCGCGGATTTTGCGCAATTTGAAGCATCGAGCTAGCCAGATCCAAGGCGGGCTTATGAATCATCCCAGCAAACATTACGTGCCCGTAACGACCCGCAGCGTACGCAGCGGCTAATGTTAACGAAGTGTTTCCGTGACCTAGGCCTTGAGTCCACCATGATGCGGATCCGTCGAACGACGGCTGTAATAAAGATGTCCCCGTCGGCTTCTCAAAGGACTGAGGGACTAAAGTTTGGAAATAACTCCCAGAGGCGCTATCAATCGGTACAATGTCCTTTGGCTGGAGTAGCTTTTGTTGCGTGAAGGGGTACCAAATTTTCTGATGTGCCTCTCCTGTCATACTCTCTAGGGCTTTTATTCGAGACTTGAACCGGTCATCCAAATGTACCAGTGTTTCTTCGACCTCCTTAGCCTGGCTGGCCTGTAGATAATATTCGAGCATCAACTCATGGTCATTCTTCTTGCTGCTGCCATTATCCAGAGGAGGCGGTGTAGGCAAAGCCATGACCGGGAGGCCATACTGTTCTTCGAAATATTGTTTGAGATAATCAGAGTTGCCATACTTCTCGTCTTCAAATAAAACAATGCTTTCCACATCGTACCCTCTGATCTTAAGGCACTCGAAGGCGGACAGTGTAGATGATATGCCACCTAGCTTCCAGTCTCCCACTAATACTACCGGACATCTCAAGGCAGCATAAAGATCCGCTTGTGGAGTACCAGATGGGCCGGGAGAATGAGTCCCGCCAGCAGTTTCTATGAAAAGCCAACCGGGGCCAGCAGAAGCTCTCTCAGAGGCGTATTCATAGACTGACTTTAAGACGCGCTCGTCTGAAATAACCTGTGTGAAAAGTAAGCTTCATTCTGTTTTCCAAAATGAGAAACTTCATCACATTTCCGTTAGCAGCAATGTGCGGGCTCACGGGCTGGCTGAATTGGTATAATGTCCTACGAGCGACGCCATTGGTGAACCGTCCAATATGACTAGATTTAGGATGGCTTTAGTTTGCGATTTTATTGTGGTGGGATATGTGGTATTGCCACTTCTGCTAGTAGGTCAGGATGGAATTAAACAGTTATCGGTATGGTGATAGACACACACTTATCGTCGGCTTCATCCTCTGGCCCAGTAGAGACGGGCTTCAAATACGCTATTGTCTCATGCTTCCATAGCCTGCTTGAGGCATTGCAAAAGATAGAGGTGAAGATAGTTTTTCCCACGTCAGTATTAGAACCGTATATTTGATACACGCGCAAATGTCGCCATAGTAGTGATCCAATTGGCGACATGGTATACTAGGCTAATGAGAGAATTGCTGTAAGAGTCATCATGTTGCAAACAAACGTGAACTTCTAAACCTCCTTTCCTACATAATTATGGAAGTTTTATGATTGCTTATGACGTTGTTTTGGACTTGTAACCCCTAATCAAGCAGAGAGTGGCTCGTCGCCATCGTACATAAGACTGTGCGGGGTATGCGCGATTAATGTATTGTTGAGACCCAGGAGTCTAATGTACCTAAACTTAGAGCTAACTGTTGGCCTGAAACTCGGTTCTAATGTTTTATCCGGATGAGTGGATGCAACCCTAGTGATGGATACTGACCATTCTACTAGTGTAGAAGCACAAAACTAATAGTGAAAGCAGTCTATGTTATGAATCTCGAACCAATGTAATGTCAAGCTCAAAAGGCATCCGGTGACAATGAGTTCTCACTCTCTCACAGAGGGCTTGGAAGCAACACTCCAGGAACGATTGGGCAGACGGGAGTCTCAAGGCCGACTCCGGCAATTGCATGCTCCTAGAACAGACCTTGTGGATTTCTCATCGAACGATTATCTATCATTCTCACAGGACAAAGATTTGCGCAAAGCCGTCATAGAGCATCTAACGAATTTCGAGGAGCAACAACCACCATCACCTTCAAATAGACGAGCACTAGGATCCGGAGGATCCCGCTTACTAGATGGCAACTCTGAGTTTGTCGAGTATCTCGAAAAGAAGATCTCTAGTTTCCATGGTTCCCAGTCTGCACTTTTATTCAACTCGGCTTATGATGCTAATGTTGGCTTAATAAGTTGCGTGCCGGGAGAAGGGGATGTTATTATCTATGACGACCTCATCCATGCAAGCATACATGACGGGATGAAGCTATCTCGTGCTACTAGAAAAATTCCTTTCGCACATAGTTCTATTCTCCGGAATGCGAGCAGACATAGCGTTGAGAAACCTGAAATGAAGAATCCGGCGATGAGAGTTATCGAAAGTCTAGGGCTCGTCCTCAAGCAATTGACAGAGATGGATCAACATATTAAGGGTGGAAGTTCGAACGTGTTCATCTGTGTCGAAGCTCTTTATAGCATGGATGGAGATATAGCGGATCTGGAATATGTTTCTGCTATAGTAAAGTCAATGCTTCCAAAAGGAAATGGCTACATTATTGTAGACGAAGCACACTCTGTTGGTGTTTTAGGAGACGGCGGTCGTGGGCTCGTGTGCCAGCTTGGCCTACAGGACCAGATATGGGCGCGCGTGATAGGCTTTGGTAAAGCCGTGGGGTGCGCTGGAGGTTTGTGCGCTCTTACACGACGTCTGGTGGTTTGCTAACTTGCCTTTGATGATAGGCGCCATTCTCTGCTCTTCCGTCGCGCGCCTCTATCTCATCAACTATGCCCGGACATTCATCTATACTACCGCCATGTCGTTTCCATCACTGGCTAGTATAAATGTGGCCTATGACTTTCTGATTACTGGAAAGGCTGACAAGCGTCGAAACCAACTGAAGTTGCTCGTGGATTATTGCCATAAAAGGTTGAAGAACCTTGACCAAAGCCTACAGCCCACCGTCGCTACTCTTCGCGTGCTTGGAGGTCCACCATGCTCTCCAATCATTCCATTATTTACTAGTTATCCGAAAAGTCTCTCTCAATATTGCAAAAGGTCTGGATTCATGGTTCGTCCGATAGTAGCACCAACTGTCCCCCTGGGCCAAGAAAGGATACGAATTTGCATCCATGCTACCAACACAATCGAGCAGATTGATAACCTATGTAGGGCAATTGAAAAGTGGCTTTCTCGATTCATCACCAGAAATCATATCGAGGAAATGGAAAGGGGCCAAACAAATGTTAGCATGAGTGCCGAGTTTCGAGATTCTCTGTTAGAAAACGGAAAAGCTAAAATTTGACAACAATACTAGCCATGGGCCTGGAGTTCTTCGCGCCTATGTATCTTGTGACTAATTTCCTCAATAGAAGCATGGCCATGTTGCACTGACATGGGCTCTGGTGTGATATTGCTTGCATTAGTAACGAGGGGAGCCAGACCCCATCGATCGAACATGGCCTTATCTTCATCCCAGCTGTTGCAGTCTGTAGTCAACATCTTCTCGCCAGTGAATATGGCGTTAGCGCCAGCCATAAAGCACAACATCTGCTCGCTTTCAGGCATAGTCACTCTGCCGGCGGCCAGTCGGATAATCGTCGCAGGCATTACCAATCTGGCGGTCGCTATACAGCGGACAATGACCTCTAGCTTGACAGGGTCCTGACCAAACATTGGGGTTCCTTTGATGGGCACTAGTTTGTTGACGGGGAATGACTCAGGATGCTCAGGCAGGGTGGCCAAGGTATGGATCAATCCAACATGATCAGTCTCTGGAACCTCCCCTAGGCCCAAGATGCCGCCACTACAGACGTGGATGCCCGCATCCCTTACGTTTTCTAATGTCTGGAGTCGCTCGTCGTAGGTTCTAGTGGTGATAACGTTCGAGTAGTGTTCCCGTGATGTGTCAAGGTTGTGGTTGTAAGCAGTTAAGCCAGCTTCCTTGAGCTGCATAGCTTGCTCCTTGTCTAGCACTATAACGTGGAAACAGTCAACACGGATCTTGGCATTAGAAAAGCAAAAATTGCTAAGCGTGGCTTTCAATCTTACTTACTTCCCAGAGTCACACAGGCTTCCATACCAAGGGCTCTTACACCCTTGATCATTTCTATAATATTTTGTAGCCCTCGTTTTCGTCCTTTCATTTCTCGCCAAGCTGCACCCATACAGAAGCGATTGGAACCGTTCTCTTTGGCTATTCTTGCAGCGTCTAGAACCGACTGTACTGTGGAGAGTTTCGTCGCTTCGAGTCCCGTCTTGTACCTCGAGGACTGAGCGCAGTATGAGCAATCCTCGGTGCAGCCGCCAGTCTTGATATTCATCAAAGTACACAGTTGAATCGCTGCTGGTTTGTGGAAACGTCGATGGACGATCCCGGCTGCATATGCGAGTTCCATAAGGGGCTGGTTATAGATTTCCGAGATCTCATCCCGAGTCCAAGTCGTCCTCGGCGAGGTTGCAGCTATCGCTTGCTGGTACGTCGAAGCAAACCTCGGGCGCAGGGGAAGCGGACCCGGGAGTAAAGCCCCCTGTCTCCGAAGAGGAATAGAAGAGTTAAACTTTCTCATGACTCCAAGTTCAAGATAGTCGACCGTGCAATGGAACTAGGATGTTCGTAATGGCCTAAGGCCAGAGTGCTATCAGTAAGTACAGAATAAAATGTGTTACGGAGGTTATAGCAGTAGCTTTGTTCGTTCGTCACAGCAACTCTTTCATAGAAACTGTCTGCCCTGTGGAGGGGATTCCCCGCCTTCCTATTACCCGAGCGCGTGCTTCGCGCTGTGTAATTCGCGCAGTGCTACTGGCTATGCGGCAATTGCTGCAAGATGCCATCCTCGGTGGAGTGGCCTAAGAAAATGGTGAGTGTTACGCATTAAGGCTGCAGATTGGCATACATTGTGGATAGATTTAAGTACGCCCTAAAACAAAGACGTGAGGGACCTTCGCAGTGAGCATCTTGACTTCGCTAAAGTAGCCTTCCTAATCATGCTGAAAGTGCTATATGCTCTCGCTACGTGTAGCTACCTACCCGTAAAAGGTTTAGAAATTTACAGGTACATGTAGATCAGACTTCGGTCACGATAGTTTTGATCGAGTTGTACGCGTACATATCATCCTGGCTTACTGATAATGGCTAGTTTGTAGCCAAGCATCAAGCTAAACACAGATCATCGCGGTATTTGAGCCTAGACCGTCGCCGCAACCGGGCGAGTCATGAGCTGCTTCTTTAGTGTGCTCAACTCCTCATCTCAACGAAAAGATGTCCTACCACCATCTTACCATCTGAACCCCAACAGCCAAGAGACCCCTTGAATGGCCACCAGAACGTTGAAGCAATACAATCCTGCACCTCACGAAAAGCCAGCAACGTGTCCTACATAGTGCCAATCTAGAGGTCTTTCTATTGCTTTATGAATTGGACTGAGGCATCCCTTCTACATATATTCATTCCTTTTCCTTTTCTTTTTTCTTTCCCCCTTTCAGCTATTGAAACCCCTATGATGTCATCCCATGTAACCTATGGTGTCCGTAGAGACTGTCGGTCTGTTAGGTATGTAGGTATGTCAGCTTCTTACCTCAGGTTCGCTACATCCAGCTAGTCTGGTACCTGTCAGGAGCCGTATCAATATCCCTGCATATCTCTACGCACTGCTCGCTTGTCAGTGGCAAGTTGTCACTGACGTTAGCGCCGTGCCTAGGTTTTCTACGGTAGCAACCACTGGGACTAGGTGCCATACCTAGCGAATGGGGAAAGACAGCATGAGACTCTCCGTGATATTATTTGTACCTGATTGAACAGATCAGTAATGCCTAACCTCAGATCAAGCCCTACGTCGTCTGCAGGCTCTATCAATGAGGGAGTTGTCAGAACATACAAGCGCCGCCCACGTAAACCGATAAGCTGTGAGCCCTGTCGGCATTCCAAACTGCGCTGCGACCGGCAACACCCCTGTGCCTCGTGCATACGGCGAAAATGCGCCGGCTCATGTGTATATGAACGGCGGGCATCCGGCGCTGGAGAGCACACAACACATGTAGAACACCGGGTTGTGCCTCCATCTACGCCATATCTTCCACAGACGGAGCATGGACCAGCGCAAAGTAGCCGAACCGTACCAGAATCTCAAGGCCCGTCTAATGTGGTTGAGACCCCAGAGCAACATGTCGTTCCTGGGCCTACTGACCTCCGGGAACGCCGGGCCTTGACCCATGAACATTGGGAAGGGGTATTGCAAAGACCGATGAATGCGGATGAGCCGTCAACGTTTGCGCTTGATGATGCGGCGCCTCGCGCCACGGGCATTTGTTTTCCATTTCATTCCGAGTCCCAGCTTTCCAAGAGCCATCTCCTAGCCTTGTTGCCGCCGACTCAATCGTGTGATTACCTTATATCACAATTCTTCATGTATATGTCACAGTTCTTTCCCATTCTACATGGTCCATCATTCCAAAAAGAATATGTTGCCTTCGTCATGGAGCCTTCCGCGGTTGATTTCTCTTGGTTAGCGTTGCTATTCATGCTATTATCCCTCGGTCTTCACACACTCGACTACGACGCCGGTCTACCCAGCGAGCTTGGGCCCGACAGACAGAACTCGAATGTATCAACACGGAAGTACAGAGAGGCAGCAATGATATGTTTATCAAAAGATCAATTTTTGACTAGATATCGGCTGACCACACTGCAAGCTCTGCTGCTCATCGTCTATGAGATATGCCACGAAGAAGGAGTTGAGCGAGGCTGGACCATGCTGGGTATTGCACTGAATATTAGCATCGCACTGCATTGCAATGCAGATTTTGGGCAACCTGGCCTAAGCGTACTCGAGGTGGAGCGTCGCCGGCGCTGTTGGGCAGGTCTTCTCTCCCTGTACGCCTATCAGATTGTTTCATATCCTGGCGTTGATATGCTGTTTCTCACGAATGTCAAGGCGGCCATGCCTGCTGATGTTAATGATGCCGACATCAGCGAAGATTCTATCTCGCAGCCTTCTAGCCAGCCGACCCAGATGTCCATAATGATATTCAAAATTCGACTGTTTCAATTGTCTAGTCGGATATGCCGTCACCTAAAGGGACCCGACAAGTTCGATGAGAAGACGCGAGATCTTTTCGATTCCGAGATAGCCGAAGAGCGACGCCAGTGGGATACTATGTTTCCTATGGACAATGGTGTGCCCAGTCTCTTAAATTTCTCGAGCTTTGCTCACTGGTCCTTGCAGTTTCACGGCCATCACCTCTACCTCCTCATCCACCAACCTTTCTGCCGACCTCGTTCTAACCCCACTTGTTTCCGCCAACAATCCCGTGCGAAGTGCATTGACTCTGGTGCGGCTTTGCTGAAACTCCACCAGCGGTTCTGGGAGATCCCTCGACTGAGACCCTGTCGCTGGACATTGCATGGTTTAAACAGCTTTTACGCTATACATGGAGCGGTGGCGTTGGCATCATGCCTTCTAGAGGGAGATTCTCACGCCTCCGAATCACTCCAATACCAGGACATCTTCATCACTGCAGTCAACCGCCTCGAAGAATTACAACATCGCAGTCCTATATGCAAGAAAGCCCATCCCATGCTTTCTCAGCTACAGTATGTGATAATCAATTGCAAGAAATTGCTATTGTTATAAGAACACTGGACTCTTCTGCAAAGCTCGAATCGCTAACAAAACATTTAGGGGCCTCCTATTCCCAGAGCAATACAAGTGGCCCAACCCTGCCAGCTCTACGTTGTTAGAAACATTTGATACATGGGCCGACAACTTACAGTGGATGAACCCAGATACTGTTGACTGGGTAAGTCATTACCGCATGCCGAGATGAATCACAGGAACGTATTCTGATTAGTATTTAGAATTTCTTAGACGGCGTACTAGGTTGAAGTAACCAAACAGGCTTTATTCTCTGTCTCATCTCCTCTTCTACAGATGTATGTGTTCGGTTTTCTAAAGTTGCTAGAATGTCACACAGGGGGGACGGTTGCAATCACCCAATATCGTTAACATGATTCTCAGGAGAACTGAACAGTTCATTAATTGTGACCTCGGCTCCTCACAAGAAGGGTTCTCTTCCAAGGCGGAGATACGGCGGCGAGGATAAAGACCGTATTCGGAAATGCTTAGGGATGGACAACTTTTTACCTGGTACTGTGAAACGATGTTACACGCGTACAAGCTGAACATGCAGTTCGCCTTACGCTTCGGCCGTACGAAAGGCCATTGCAGGTTGTTCATGGTCATTCAAAGACATGCAGTCAATCGTAGGCAATATTAGAAAGTGAGGTTATACAGATTTCGCTTCTTGAAACAAGCCAACGAGAACTACGCGATCAGGGCTGACAGACCAGTTGTATATAGAGTCGATCCAAGCGACTAGGGCCAAGAAGGAATTGGTTGATCAAGGACTTATGCAGCCCTAGTTGATCATTATATTGTGAATAGCATCAAGTTCCAAGCCCAGATCTCTGCCCTTATATGTGAACACGACAGTCAAGTTCCATCTCTAAACCTTCATTTATGGTGGCCTCTATGGGTGCGAGAAGCCATCTTAACATGTGAATAGTGCGGGGCCTAAGGGAGATAGTTAGTTCAATGATGTGATAACCGCTGGGGGCATTTCTTATACGCACCAGGTATCCTATATGGATTACTGTTGGTAGGCGGGTTATTGCTGTGCGGATTCTACTGTTAGAAATCTCCATGTCATGAGTAAGCGGGAAGATGTATGCCACGGTGTAAACCTTAAAAGTGATAGAATATACATAAGATAGAAGATCAAGGAGGGGAAGCAATGACATACTAAATATCAATCAATAGGCCAGGGTCATTTGACTATAATTTTGGCTAGGTTAACTCTCCGTTAATGATGAAAAGTCATTAGGTATGAAACCGACCTTATAAATGCCTGGGATACTTGATGTAGCAGGCTTCTTCGTCCCCTTACTCCCCTTGATGTTGATTTGAGCGCATTCCATCTAGGCCAAGAATCAGTTATGTTGGATTAACACATAATATCACTGAAAACCTACGTATAGTTGAGCACCATTAACGGATCGCGCTCCGTGGAGAGCAATCATTTCAGCTCGTAATAAATATTGTCCGGGTTCGATACAATCCGGAATACGAATCTGCTGGTTTCCACCACTGTTTATCACAATATCGGTCCCCCAGATACCGTTGGTGAAACCTGACTCTTGAATTTTGAACCTAGTCAACCTAGTTAGCAGTGTTAAGAAGTAGGTATTAAGATACCTGCCATCCACTTCCTACACCGCTGTCTTGAGTGGCATTGGAAACTTTCTTGAGATATGCCATTACCGGCCCCTGGATAAGAGTGAGCCAAGATCGACCAGTTAAGTACTTCAAGGATAATATAGACGCTCGTGAGCGTACCTTATGTCCGGGGTCCATCACATCGTTTGATCCCGCTATTAGTTTGTTAACTTTAATAGATCACCCGCCAAGTGGTGCAGCGATCTGTTGCTAACATTGAAGAGTGTGGCGCCAAATAGCACTAACTGTATTACCGGCCGCTACGTCGATGACCTTATTTGAAGGTGTCGTTGGGTTAGGCGGCCCGTTGCAAGCCAAATTAGCCGAGTTTACATCTGTTTGAGGCTTTTAGATTCTTAGCATTATGGCATCTATCTACATAAGCCACTTTGAAGGTGAATGAAGCCTTCATTGTGGGCCTTGTAAGACCAACTTACTCCATCGTAGGAGGGTGTCCGGATGCCATAGGACACAGCTTCATGCACATCATCAGTGTTGACCGAAAGGTATCACAAGGGGAAAATGCTGCGCTTACCATAGGTTTGCTGGCTTGTTTTAAGCTGGCAGAAGATCGTGTGTGCTGATGCTGTGTTTGCCAGCGATAGAGTTAACAAGGAGTGTATGAAATGCATTAGGATGAGTGAACAATGGGATCAGCATCGGTTGTTGATAGAAATTCTATAGAATAGGGAACCGGGAAACAACTTCGTTTCATAGCTCTTCAGTAATATATGGGTACGGCTGATCGCACAGCGGTGGAAGCGCTTGGATATTTGACTAATCGTTCACCACTCGGCAGTGATACCGTGCCAAGGCGGTACAAACGTGCCCGCGCTGTATGGATGAATGAGATATGTCTTCTGATCTTCGCTGCTGAACACCCGGGTAAAGTTGGGATAATAATACTTGACACCTTAGTTGCGGTCACGTATTCTTCGTCACATTATTGATGTCGCCAAAAGATTTCGTCATTTTTGACATTTTTAAAGTCCATACGCGAAAATTATTGTCGCTCTTCAGCGAATGTCTTTTGCTTCCTCACCTTGTAACACCTGATACCGAACTTTGAGGCATTTCAATTAGCTGTCAGGCACGCTTTATAGCTAGTATCTGTGAACAATCTTCTTAACTGTGTTGATGCACGCATGACGAATGACTGGCAAGAAAATAGCCGACATCAGGGTAATCAATTGTGATCTGATTTCTGGGTTATGGATTGACGAGTTAAAAAGGGGGAATCGGAAAGACAGTTGCTACAGCTGGTCAAGGTCTTTTATCGCAGCGCTGAGCCCTCTTATGAGCTACTGGAATTATCCTTCACTCATTACTAATCACGAAACGTTCGGAAAGGTGCTTGCGCCAGAAAAACTGTTATCAAGGCAACAAGAATAGTGCTCATCAATGGTTACGGCATGACTTTCAAACTAGCGCTAACTACCCCATTGTCGAGCAATAATTCTAATCACAGAGGTCAAGCCTTACGAGACCTAGTGACAAACTCATCACGACTTCTGAGCATATTGTTTACACACTCGCTTTCACATTGTATAGGGATTACTACAATGACACTGGTGAGTGCTAATTCGCACAGCGCAATGCAACCGTGTTATTCAAATCGTCCCTATTTTTTTGGGGCCATATGGAAATGTAGGCCGCTTACTCGTAAATAACCAGGCTTTCGGGGTCAAAAGAGTATATATAACAACTGCCAGATCTTCGCAGCCCTAAGCGGGGTAAGCCTAATTATTAATTATGTTTCTTGTTGTAGCCTCGACGTGGGCCTTAATCGGCGTCGCTTCCCGTTTATTGCGATTGTCCCATGTGAGGTGTTGTAGGGTGGCTATGGAAGCTTCGTGGAGAGGCTTCTCCATTAAAGTAATCATGCTGGACCGGCGAGCCCATCTCGCTGCGCGTTGCTGCCATACTTGCATCCAGCTCGGAATAATGATGACGGTCCACTAGCACTCCAGATGCCACGCTTGGCGACCCTGGCATGGACGAGCCTTTCATTTGCGGCGTGACCGGTTCATAGGAGGTCGAGTACGGATGAACAACGACAGGCGGTGGCACATGCTGGCTTGCTTCCTCGGCCTTTTCCCATAGTTTCTTCTTCATGGCTTTATTTTGATGGAATAGCCAGGCTATGACTCCTGCTGCGACGATCGCAACCACGCCGAGGGCAACTGCAAGACCGATTGTTGCTTTTTTAAATGCGGAGGAGGAGCTCCTAGAAGCGTCATTAGTGCCTGATGAAACTACACTCCCTTGAGTAGGGATATCGATAGCCCGGTCAGTGCCGCAGCATCCAAGCTCATTCTGACCGCAACAATATGTCCCATCCGGGCATTGTGTCATCACGACGCTATCATTGCTTGATCCACGATTCTGTATACCAATTAGATTAATGCATTATCGGGGTCGAGTGCTCTATACTTTAGGGTCTGTGCAAACGTTGACACAAGCAGGGCTTTTCCACGTCTTGTCCGTACAAAACTCCCTTCTCAACACGTTATCAAGCGTACTGAGACAAAGCCCAGAAGTTGTGCAATAGTCTCTCTGTTTGGGATCGCCATCTAATCGGCAACAACTGGAATAAACACCGTCTTGTTGAATCCCCAGTTTATTGCAAGGAACTACGGTCTCGTTGTCGGCCAAGGTCATACCGTCAGGGGCCCAGCACTGCACCTCCGCCGCTAAAGCGAGCGGGCTTAATGAAGTAATTGCCCATAGAACCCCGATGAGAGGTAGCATAGCGTCTAACAGTGTGCAGTATACCAGAATAGATTCGAGTCTACACTCTTGTTCCTTACTATCGCGTGCCAGTCGTTTAGTGGATATCGAGGCGAGGTGAGGTGAGTCGCAAAAGTCTGAGAAAGAGGATATACATCAAACAGTGAAGATTAACGAGAGAGGGGAAGACGCCAGTTACCTCTCTCTTTCCAGATGAGATCAATTTGGAACCAGTAGTGAGCGAGCTCCTAGCAACCTACTACTTTGTGTGGCACACCATCCCAGGTGAGCAATAACACCGAGTGGAAAGGCCTCTAGCAAGACAATCGACTCGTTTGGACCAATAGACGGGTGAGATGTCTCGGTGGCTTACCCCACGAAGGAGCAAGGAGGGAGAAATATGCAACCATCACGCAGGCGATTATAGCGCGGGCATCTCCGGCGTCAATTGGAGGGAGTACTACTTTTGGGGGCTAGGAGAGTATATGAACACGTCGCCTATTACATGTTGCGCGGGGAGTGGTGTGTTCACAGGCGCGCGGTCATGCGCGAGACGAAGTTATCTGACCAAATCTCGTCAGCCCTTGTCAAGCACCCAGAAGTGTAACGGCCTGCATAAGATTGCACTTGTTATAGATGCGCCGCATAAATGCTTACGCGAATAAGCCGCAGACCAACACCTATCAGGGGGGATTATTTGGTACTGCACTGCCCATGAGTACTAAGTACCTAACCTACGTAGTTTTCGACATTCCTGTAGTTGTTTCTAATATTGGAACCCTGACGTGATGGAAATGGTCAGAGACACGGACTTCAGCCGCATACTAAAAAGCAAAGAGGGTTCACCAAAGTGGCCACGACTCCCCCCTTAGTTTCGTAACCGAAGTGTTCTGCCATTCTCTTATAGAAAGGTTTTATTTCTTAAACATCGTAAGATCATACAAGCCTCTTATAAATTCACAACGGCGCACCTAGACAACCTAGGTAACTATAAGTATAGTGCGTTGAGCAGAGCTGAGTTATATAATCAAAAGTGCAGTAGTACCAATCCTCAACTACGTCTGAATAGAACTCGTCGGCTATCCTAAATGTGCCACCAACTCGCATACGGCTTACATTAGTGTAAATACACGTCTACTTAGTAACGACTGAAACTCCTAGCCATAATTACCCTAGCCCTGAATAGCGTCAGTCTCTCTTTGAACTACGGTGTCAGACGCTACACACATAGTAGCCTCTCTTCCTACCTTCGCTTGGGATGGTTCGTTGTATAGAGAGTCCTTTGACTTCTGGTAGGTAGGAAATGAGCTCCACGAGGTACTTGAGAGAGAAGAGAAAAAAATTAGTGTGTCACGGGTAATAATACGGGTTGTTGGTTCTGGTTCAATCCATGCGGATCTGTTGAAAGTATTAACAACTGCATACTTACAGTACGGTCTGCAGGCACACTAACGCCAAGATATTGCGTATGGAGGCCGTCCATCTGAATTATTTACGTACCGTTGTAGACTTTTTAAATGTTAGTACCTTGCAGAATCCCTCGCACATCTGACTGCAACCTTTCATCCACGTGTCAAGTCCTGTGATGTGCAGAGTCTCGTGTCAGCTTTCGAGAGGTGCCACTTACAGTAAGGTAGGTATATGTAGATCCACTCCAAAAAACGTAGGGAAGGTATGACAGTTCCTTCATTTCACTGACTACGGGATGGCATGTTTATATTCTGTGGTATCTATCTTGACAGCATGTCTAGATGCACACGATTTACAGGCTCTAGTATGGTGGGTTTTGGCTATGCCACTGGCTACCTTGATAATTATGGTTCTGCTGATAACCTTGGGGGTCGTAATGCTGATCAACCCCATAATTACCCTGGTGAGGTGGTGGATAATGACTGGGTTGATGTTCGGGTTGGGACTGGTGCTGATTCTGATAGTAATCAGCCGAATTACCTTGCTGGTATCCATATTGTGAAGAAGGGTTCGGCTGGTGGCTCTCCTCCAGGCGGGCGCTGGGATTCGGCGGTCCTATGCTCACTCCTTCATTTCCAATGTCGTCCGGAACGGTAATCTTCACCTTGGGCAAGTATCTCTGAACTTTCTCCTCGACTATGTTCTGCACAAAGACCCAACTCTGGCGCTCCAACTTGCGGTGTCCTCCATTTACAATACTGAGAATACTTTCCCGAAGCATTCTCTGTACCTTCAATACGAGACCTCGAATCTTTTCAACTAGTTTCGTCTTAATGTTGTCTCCAAAACCGCGGTCTTGCTGAAATCCGGCGTCACGTTGGAGTTGCGAGTCGAAGGGATTGCCGCCAAGGATCTTCTCCAAGGACCCCTGCAACTCGTCCGGAAGTAGCTCGAACAGCTGCTTCTCAATGCCACCCAGCACTTTGCGGAATTCAAGACGGACGTCCCTATGGACTCTAGCAAGACCTGTACTCAACTTCTCACTGATGACCTTGGAGAAGCCACCACCATTGCCATCTTCATTAGCACTGCTGTCGCGGTCGCCAAAGCCCCTCGAAGAGCCCTCGCTGTCTCCCCTCTTGTTGCCAAAGAGGTCTCCGATTCCTTTCACAAACCCCTTCACGTGTTCTTCAATCTCACCCCTGGCGCCATCGCCGAGATCGCGTGCGCTCGTGTTGCCGCGTAGCCAGCGCTTGATATGGTCCAAGGCAATGCGAGTGAACTGCTCAGCGATGGGCCCGTGATGCTCGCGCAGCTTCACGCCGACCCTTTCCTTGATTTCAGGGCTGATGCGACGTGCCGTGTCTTCGGGACTCCGTACTATGTCCTTGACATTGTTGGTGAACATGCCAAGAAGCCCGTCAAGTTCAAGTTTCTGCCCGCCTGGCCTCAAACCGCCGTTGTTGTCGTTATCTAAGTGATCTTGAACAGCTTGGACAGCAGCGGAGAAGAAGCCGCGGGCCAACTGGGAGGGGTCAGGGCTTCCCTCTGCAAACGACCGTGTGCCGCCGGCGTTGGGCTGGGTTTCGGTAAGACCAAAGATGTCGCGCACGTCGTCGCCTGCCTCGTCGACAATCTTCCCGAAGCTGCCTGTGAGATTCGCGATCTCGGTAGCGAAAGGCAATGATTGACCGCCATAGGTATCTGGGACTGCGGCATCTAGCGACCTTGCGACTCCGGGGTTGCTGGCGTCATGGCGACCAAAGAGATCACGGAACGCGTCGATGACCTGTGTCTCCAACGAGTCGATGGTCTTCTGCTGGAAAATGTCCAGCTCTGAAGCAATGCGGGGTTGAATTTGCGGGGTAAGGGAGTCGACGTATTCGTCCACCTTTTTCATCAACACCTCTGGGATGCCGTGAGAAGACATGACTGAGAGGATGGTGAGATATGGTTAGAGGAGCAAGTGAACGAGGTATTCATTGTTCTTAATGTTCCCCGGGACTGAAGAAGGGCATTAAGTCCGAGCAAGAATCATATACCGGTATAGCGCTCCAAGGTTGCCTACACTTAGCGGCCTACAGCGCATCGACTGGTGTCTTGGCGCTGGGTTGTGCCCTGTAATGTCTGTAATGTGTCGCTATCTCGGCAGTCTCTCCCCAAGCCTTCCAAGATTCCAGCGCTTGGCACCCTGGGCGAGACGTCTCTGTTGACCCAGCACAGCCAGTCCTCTCTCATCTTGCATCGAAATCCTGTACAGATTTCCTGACATTCTGAGTGCGCTTCTGCCTCCCCAATGAGGAAAACATGAATGGCCAAATCTACTTCGCCAGAGGCTTCCATCTTGTGGAGCACTAAAGGCGAGGGCAAGCGTCTTGACAATTTTATGGTGCTTGACGGGTCCGTCTCCTACTCCAAGGTACGGACGATAGTCAGGCCACATCTCATTCAACAGTGAGATACGTGAATAGATGTCTATCATCTTCGCCCACTCTCTGCAATCCCTGCATTACGACTTGGCTTGCTCTTCTTGCTACTTTTCCTATGTAACGCGACCTGAAACGGCAGCATGCTTCGGGAACTCGGCCAGGTCAATGACTGCATTGATGGCCACGCATTCCTGGCCGCTGCAGGGATTATCAAGTCAAGCTTGGACTTTGCCATTACTGTACTCGCTCTGTCCGAACATTCTAATCCAGACAATGTTATAAGGAAAAGTCGCGTCCATTTTATTCGTTGGTGGTCTATCTGCATTGATACGTTCCGTCAAGATTGGCAATTTGCTGTACCTGACAGTGAATAGGATTGAACGTAAGTGATTCTTGTTATGTTATCGCCGGACATATCAGACTTCAAAATGGCCTCTATTTCAATTACTCGCTAATGGACAGCACAGTATAGACTTAGGATAGTAAATGAGATTCCCATTTCCGAATAGTTCTGCTCAAATATACTGAATTTAGCCGCGAAGAGGATCAGTAATGGTCACATCGATGTTGAATCTTTTTTATTCGTTTATCCCAGATATCTATACACCACTGCAAAAACCCCGTCGCCTTCATACTATGCATATTCGGTTGTTGAAGACCTTAATGTTCTTTAAGGGCTGAAATCCCAGCATCGAGACTAAGGTGGGAAGGGAAATGCTTGGAACTGATGTTTCTGCTTGTCTTCCGGTCTTTTTGACGTTGAAGTCTCGTGAGTTGGTGGCGAGTCTGGTGTATCCTCGATGTTATACACATACTTCGTAGCACTAGCTTTGCCTTCCTTCAACTTTTGCAGCCCTTTCAGCACACCATGCAATCCCCCTGGCACAATCTCAAATGGATGCGGTTTCAGTCTGCCATCTGCTAGCAATCTCCCGAGAAAACGAGACCAGAGAAACCCGAAATCCTTATGAGTGGAATGAACACGAGGGAGAGCACTGTTGATAGCCGCCATCCCAGGGGGGTACTTGAACCCTTCTGGATCCTTCGCAAAAAGACTCGGAGGAAGTACAGTGCTGATAATGCCTCCGTTATCGTCGACAAACCGCAGGGTTGTTTCGAGCGTTCCCCCTTCGCTAATAGCATCAAAAACATGGGTCACTTTATTGCCTAGTCCCTTTTGCTTCAAAATCTCCTCAACACGCTTCACTATAGCGTCGTCTCCCTCGCGATAATCGACTACATAGTCAGCTAGGGTTTGTGCAAAGTCGCTTGCTCGGCCAGCAATTCCGATGATGGGATATAGTCCTGAAAGCCGTGCCAGCTTCGCTGCGAATGCACCTACAGCGGACGTGACCCCATAGATCAAAATAGGCATTTTGTTCTCACCCGCCAGTGCTACCTCAACTTGGGGCAAGGGGAGTTTCATGTCGACGTAGAGCGCAATGGCCGCAGTCAGAGCCGCTGTAGGGACGGTGGCGGCCTCTTCAAAAGTCACATGCTGAGGTAGGTGAAATGTCGTCCAGTGCGGCGCAACAGAGTATTCTGCATAACCTCCGTTTTCTTTCCCAGCACGGTGCAAAGCCGCAACTCTGTCACCTGGCTTGAACTCATACACATCCTTACCAACTGCATGGACAATACCAGCAATGTCATCGCCACTGTTATGAGGCCAGCCCTTCCTAATAGAGGTCAGTATATGGGTACACAACAGACTTTTCACAGAGATCAATCAGTACCAAAGGGGATATTTCCAATCTTTAGGATTCGAGCCGGCAACTACGACCTTTATGATGACATCGTTGTCTCCGGCCTCTGGGATAGGGGTGTTGATAATCTCGACGGCTTCAATTGAAGGTTGAACAATAACTTGCTTAGGCATTTTGAAAAAAACTTAGGAATAAAAATACAATGTCTTTCAATTGTGGTTCTTCATTCTTTCTTTCTCAATGTAATAGTAGCGCTATATATACTTGCTTAACTCTAATACTTACCTAGGTAGCTACTTTACTTATTTCCATAAGCTTATATTATCCCGCGGGACGCGAGCTCTACCCAGTAAGTCGCGATCTACCCTTCTCAATCATACTCGCTATGAGTTTGAGAAAATTGTACAATTTTCCACATGGTCCGCGGATGCTATTTAATCACCAACCCCCGTCTACCTAGATTATTACGCTATTGATCATTGGGCCCACTCTCAAGCTATAAACTTATAAATGGGACCGGATGTCCGCGGATCACCTATCTTGGAACTCCGTGGATCTTACATCGTGTTCGCGATCCTTTCTCTGTCTCCAATACATGCGACCAGCGCTATAACTTGTTACACTATGTTGCCCACGCAGAAAGGGCGCCCAGAGCCTGTATCGTGCCAGCTTTGCCGATTGAAAAAGCTGAGGTGCAACCGAGTCCAACCATGTTCAAATTGCCAAGCTCGCAACGTCCCCTGTGACTTTCTCAACCCACCTACGAGGAGTCAAAGAGGTCGAACTCTCGATGCACATAGCACCGATGAAATCCTCAAACGCGTAGCAAGACTTGAGTCAATCGTGTTACCAGGAACTTCTGTTAATGAAGAGTTCTCAAACAGCCGAGCCACTTTGCCCACGCCTAGTTCAGAGGTGCCTGGCCAATACACAGATCTGCGCTTACTCGAGAACATTGGAGTTAGGGAAGATTCGCTTGTAAGTTGTCTCCTGCTAGCATTTCTAGTGAGATTGCTTTAGAATACCTGCTAATAACCTAATAGATATCATTTCTATCAAATGACTTGTCATTTGCTATTCGCGATGATAATTCGATTATGGAATCACTAGATGATGTTCAATTCCTTCCGGCATCTAAAGTACATTCGAAGGAAAACATTATCACAATACCTCCTTATAAGACAGCAGTTATCCTGTTTGGCTATTTTGAGGATAACTTGAGCTATATGTGTCCTATTTTGAACTTCTCAACTGCCCAGTCGCTTACAAAGTCTTTCTACACGCGGGTCAACCAGAGAGAACTTGTCTTACCTGGTCAAGCTGCCTTACTACTATCTGTGTGCGCCCTTAGCGCTTTCTTTTATCAGTCATTTGAAAATGATGGACTAGGCGTATTGGGTTACGATGCTGCCAATCTATCGAAGTGTTGGAGTAGAAGCGCTTTGGATGTCCTGGAACACTCCCGTCGCAACACTTCTGGAACCTTGGAAGACATTCAAGCGCTGATAATCATGTCTTATGTTACGTACCATTTGGATGGCTTCTCGGCTAGATACCGTCATTTATCTGCAACGGCTATTGCAATGGCGAGGGATCTTGGCTTACATCGCTTGGACGCTGATGAATATTACCCAACAGCAACAGGCCTAAGCTTGCACATTCTCGCTGACCGTGAAGTGAAGCGGAGAATCTATTGGCATTTGATAGCTTCAGACTGGTAAGGCAGATCGCCTATGTTCTATCTTGTCTACATGCTGAAAGTGGCTAGGACACACTCAACAATGACAGGACCCCAAGAAGGAACATACTCTATTCACCCTAATCATATTCAAGTAAACCTTCCAACCGAGTATGATGCGAGCGATAATAGTACGTCGGTCACGGTGCCGCAGCCAACCGGCATTACGTTTCTTCTTGCTAGAATTCGCCTTGCACATCTATCGAGGGAATATACAGACACCATTCCATTAGAGACGCCGAAGCTTTTGAAAATCCCTTATCAGCATATAATATCATTGGATGACAAAATCAAGAATTTCTTGGAGGAGCTACCTTACTTTTTTCGAGCCGATAATGAAAGCCGTAATAAGAGTAGATCTCTTGAAGCTGTGTACTCAAAAATCCCTATCATGCGATACTGCATACTCACAGCTGCGCACACAAGGCGATGCAGACTACATCAAAAATTCTTGATTAGAAAGTCTTCTGACCCGCGGTACAACTATTCAAGACAGGCTTGCCTGGAATCGGCGAGGATAGTAATTCAGCTTTATAAAGAGCCAAAGTCCGAAGCCGATTCACCGTCCATGGAGACAGCGCGTATGGCCATGGCTGTACACTATACACACCTGGCGCTGGTCATTCAAGTTATGGACCTGTGCTTTAATAAGAATGAAGGAGACTATCAGGAGCGAGGGAAAGAACTACTTTCCACGCTGCGAATGCTTGAAGGAGCCAGAAAGATTTCCCCCCTCCTAAATCGCTCATTGGACTCCGTAGTGGAGGTGCTTCGTAAACACCAAGTTGTTCTCTCAAAGGAAAATTTGGCGAGCCCCACGATCCACCACACTGCCTACCAGTCCCTTGAAGAGAATGCATCTCTTTCTGAGAACACCCAGCCCAGTTTTCCACAACATAGTTCCGACTTCGGAGACAGCTCGCTTGCGATTGATTCATCAATTAATGAGTTCTGGGGGAGCGCGAACCATTTCGAAATGGACTTTGATTCAAATACTTGGGATGCCCTTTTTTCAAACTTGGAATCAGGGCCCCTCTAAAATTATTTTATTCCACAACTATTAAATAAGAATGGAGTTTATATTAAGCCAATATTTGGCCCCAACTATAGTATTAAGCCCTGTATAAGTTATTGATACATGTTCAGTTTCGCTTCTATAAGAACGTTTATTGTAGTTCTAATGTGTTTTAAGATCTTGAGGTCCTCATATCTAACAGGTAGTTAGCCGCAACATATCATTGGACGCTGTTCTGAAACTCTCCGTTCATATCGGCAACATCAAATCTGAACAAGTCGAGCCAGGTACAGTCAAGAGTGCTATTGTCGACAGACCAGTCTTGCAAGGCATTAAGGTTCGCAACCGAAAACTCAGCATTCGGTCCTGTAGTTTGTTCCAGAAGAGCCATATTATCGCAGAAATCAGGAGGGAATGGAAACATTCGATTCGAAACAGGACTTGACTCTAGATGTTCGCTGTTTCCGGAACACCGTGAATCAAGAGTCCGGTCAATCCTTGTTTTGAGCTTGTCCATCATTGCAACACCCCACTTGGCGTCGCCATATTTGCCATCCAATCCCTTCAGGATAGATCGAAGGACTGCCAGATTTCTTTCGCGCTCAGACTTTTGTTCTGAATTTTGGGGAGTACGGTGTATTATCGGAAGCGCAAGTACCAGACAATAGAAGCCATTATGATGAGGAAGTCTCGCTTCATCTCGACAATCAATCTCCTCGTACAGTGTGACCGCGCATGATGCTGATAACAATGATGCAACCGATACTCTGCGTGGTCCGCCTCTATCTCTGCACCTGAGAAACTCACTTAGAATGATGGCGACGAAGTATTGAATCAATAGCTCAGAAACCGGCCGGCAGTAGCTTTTCCTTGTTCCGCCCTCGTCGAATAGCCGTAGTTCTCCTGGAAGGCTGTTAACCCAATCACATAGTGACGTCTCAACTCTTGAGAACTCTTCAAGCTCTATTGGCCGTCTGTCTCTGTGAAGCTCTGACGTACGACTAATGATAGTGCACAGTTTGGAGCTTTCGATAAAAACCACTGAATGAAGACATGGCATATCAAAGTCATCTCGAGTCGGGAGTTCGACATTGAAATCATTGCGTCTGAGCAATGGAGGGCGGTTCCTAGCACCACGGTCAAGTCAGCGACTAGTATTCCATGAACCAATCTTGTTTCAAAGTGACCTGGAATTGAACATACCAGCAAGCAGCCTCAAGCGTATCGTTATTCTTGTGACATGTCAGCAAAGATAAGAAGATGTCTCTACAGTAGATGGTGAGTCACGAACATGAAGTGTCCAAAATATCCTGCGCAGGGATTTCGCATCAGATCGGTTTACATAAGTGCATTCTCGATAAAGTCCCATCTGAAGCGCCAACCGAACTGCTACCGCTATCCAATGCCAGGGCCCATCAAGGGTAATTGGGTTGGAGGGTTTAGCGCTCCATAGAGAAAGAAGGCAGATAGCCTTGAGAGTGCGCGCTGTGTCTCGGTCAAGATCGAGGCATATTAATAGCTTCACCTCTTCGTATAACTCGTTGGCGAGTTTGAAACCTCTGGGGTTAGGCCGCACTAAATTTCCTACGAGGCAAATAGCCTTCCCCAGGGCAGTTGATGCATTCGACCCATCTAGGTCTTTAGCTTCAAGTACTGGACAATAGTGGAATACAGACTGCCAATATGCATCGGCCCACGCCCTTATAAGTACGGGACGCGGAGTCGGGTCGAGTTGAACTGATTTACGAAGCGCCTGCAAATTCGGCGGGCTCGTGAACGGGGTTTCCTCCACTCCATTGATATCGCCAGTCTCTCCATAGTAAGAGTCGGAGCACCGGTTGATGAAACTCCTGGGTTCCGAGCTCGGCGTATTGGTATCGCCCGGCGGTGTGGTCTCTAGATGCGTGGTAGCGACGCTAGGGGAAACTTCTTCTAAGTCAGGAGTTTGTAGGCACCGGATCGACCGCGATCCAGGTGCTCGCAGTCGCGTCCCGCTCAGCCGATTTTTCCTTACACCAACTCGGCGACTGATGATATTGTTAGCATGCTGTGAACACTCACTAGGCAGGCGAAGATATGAACGCACATGCAGGGCTGCTGTGATTGGCGGCAATGTTTACATACTCCATTTGAGCTGGTCTGCAAGTCACATTTGATCTAGCTACGGTCTTCAGTCTCGCGGTCTGGAGTTTGGACTTTTGGGTGGGTGCCGGAAGGTTACCTTTCGGAGATGGCAGTTGGTGCAAACCACCCTTGCACGGTCTGAAGCCAGCATCTCTGTTAATATCCGATAGGAACATGAGATTGATGAGAGGATAGTTATACCGAAAACCGCATTATCTCGGCCGGCTCCTCTCAGTGTAGAATAGCTTGTGTCGACGCCGAGATGGATTTGCGGGCACATTTGAGGTCAGCTTTGGTACGCCGACTGCCGACTGCCGAACACATTAGGTAGTTGGTAATGCCGAATGCCAGGCCAAGCAAAACCCACGACTGCCGGTGCCATCCCATTTGTAAGCAACGAGCGTACCTACCTTAGGACTTATACTTATACAAGGTGACATGACTTGTGAAATGATAATGACTGATTTCTCATCATCGTGAGTATCGATCATTACTTCTTCTCTGGCTTAATTGCCTATTGCGTGTGTTTGATAGCGCTATCTCTCCCCCATCGTGCTAGCGCATCCCCCTGCCTTCTCATTCATAAATCCGCTGGAATCGGGTCTAGTAATACCTAGCTATATGATTACCTAAATAGTCAAGATCACGTGGAAACATGAGTTTGAGATGCACATGACGCGTATGTCGCGGTTTTGATTGATGTGTCTCTGACTCTCTCCCGCGAAAGATGAGACTTGTTTACGATGAACGCGCATGATGCCACGCGATGCTACAACCACGATACTGCTACACACTTCATACATGCGACCAGTTGAACTTCCTACTGGCCAATTGATACAGCAGCCGGTGTGAGATCCGCCAAAAACCTCCACAACGACTTCTCCCTCCATCCCTTCACCCTCCAACCATTCGCCGGATGTGGGAAAAAATCGACAATTCCCTGGATTTCCATATCATGTGCGAATACAAAGAAGATGTTACTTTGCGCGTCTGCTAGCTGGGCGTCCTTGATCGTTTGAATCGCTTGCGGAATGTCGACGGCAAGAACAGGCTCGAAAAAGGGTTCATATGCTTTGCGACCGTGCTTATGGTTCAGCGCGTGAAACTGTTCTGCTCCCGGGCAACCAGAGATTCGCGCTCGAAGGTAGTCAGGTAGAGGGAATTGAATGTTCGCTGGGATGGGAAGATGAGGGGATGGCCGGATCTCCCCGCTATGATGACAGAGATCGCCGCCCATGAAGATGAAGGTGTCTGGACTGCTAGTGGTCCGGGCAAGGCCAGCAAGATGCCCGATGGTGTGACCAGGCGTGTGGAGAAGGTAGAATGAGCCATCACCAAAGAAGTCGTACGCTTCGAAAGCACCAATAGTCAATGATCGAGACACATCAGAAAAGTTGATTTCTCGTAAAGTCCGACCCCTATTGTGAGCATAAGTATATCTCGAATTTTATACCATCGTTGTATGACTTACTCCAAATGACGTTCCTCAATAACATCTGCTCGCGTGGGATATGCTGGTAGATAGGCATTCTTGAAACCTGGCCCGACGACTAGAGTGGTCGATTTAGGAAAAGTCGTAATATCACCGATGTGATCGAAATGGTGGTGGCTAGGCAGAAGAATAATCAGTAATACGATGCAGAAAACGAAGACTGGAGAAATTGACTACCAACCTCCAGATGACGCTACCTATGTCAGCAGGGTCTATACCATCGCCTCTGAGAACATCCGCAACGTGCTTATTCCCATCAACCGAAGCAGATACCGCATCGAGCATCTCCAATATGGCTGGAGAGTAGCTGGCAGGATCTGGGGGTATTGATAGGTCGAACAGCACTTTCTCGCCTTTTGAACTCTGGATCAAAAAAGACCAGGACGCCAACGGTCGAAATTTGTCGAACCCATCGATGCTAGGGGTTAGTAGGGCGGCAGTAGCAAGATTGGTTAGGTAAACATCGGTATTGATGATGTATACATGGGCGATGGTACCAGCCGGAATGTCAAAAGAGGGGGCAGCCGTCATTATAGCAAGATTAGATTGTAATATAAATTGGGAGAGACTGAATACTTACCAGATATTATAGAGTTGGGAATTGAATTTATTATTTAATTTATACCGAGCTCCATGGTAAGCAGTCATTAAAATCAAACTGCCGTCTGCCGAGACGTTGTACGGAGACTGCCGCATAAAGATGCGGTACTCGGCTCACTTTATAAAATTACGCCGGTTAACGGGAATAAAGCTGGGACATAATAGCTTGCAAGCCTAGCAATGAGTATTGTTTCAATAATATGTTAATCTCCACAATAAGATTCTACGGCTCTATTCAGAGTCTTATCTCATCCGTTCGCTTCTCGTTTAGACGTAAACATCATCAGCATTAAGTTTGTTAGTTATGGTAATCATGGCTTTCAGGCTGTTTCGTTTAAGTTTCGACATATGGTGTAAACTAAATCATCTGGATCATAAATCCTAACTTGCCTCCTTATAGGTTCTCAATCTTCATGACAGCATGCACCTCGGTGTCGTGACTAATTCTTAGAATCATAAGGACTCGGAAAAACTTTTAAGGTAAAGGGACTGCTGCTTGCTGGGAATAAAGCTTAAAAACACATAAATGAATCATTGTAAATTAAGATTATACAAATTGAAGTTACTTATAGCTATAAGCTGACCACACCCCCTACGAACCACCCCCCTTGCGAACCATCTATACTGTACGGTATTTATATATAAAACTATAAAATAGATAATTAAAAATAACTAATTAAAAAAAGCATCTATAATTATTAAACTTTAAAATTAGCTATATAATATAATTCTATATATATAATTAAATTATAAAAAATATCGACCTATTATAGGAAGTGTATTTAATTATTAAAGTTATAGTGGTTTTTTTAAAGTGTAATTTATATAGGAATTTGCATAGTGCTATATAAAAATTTTTAAACTTAATAACTTTAACCTAGAATATTTATATGAAGAAAATTTATAAAAATAAGTATAATATATTAATAAGTGCTAAATTACTTAATGAACTTAATTCTTTTAACCGTTTATTTTTATCATTTTTATTCAATTTATTATATATTATTGAAGGTAAAAATATTACCTTTTTAAGGTATTAATTTAGGTAAGAAATATATAGTACGGCGTCGCCAGGGTTGGAAATTAGTAATACTACTGTAGTATTTAGTAATACTACTACTACATGTAGTGTAGTAATAGCACTTACTAATACTACTGTAGTTTAATATTGCTATTATTAAATACTATAGTAGTATTACTATATACTATATATAGTATTATTGATTTACTAATGTAGTAATTTTTTATATATATAAAAATATATAATTTTATTATTATTAATAATTAATAAATATAAAAGTATATAGAATTTTATAAAAATTAAAAGAATTAAAAAGAATTTAATAGAATTTATATAAAGCTATAAAATAACTATTATTAAGCATAGAACTTTATAGAATTTAATAGAAATTAAAAGAATTTTATTAAATTCTTTTAAATTCTATTAACTTCTATAAAGTTCTATGCTTATTAATAGCTTTAATAAGCATATAAAGCTATAGAATAACTATTATTAAGCATAGAACTTTATAGAATTTAATAGAAATTAAAAGAATTTAATAAAATTTCTATTAAATTCTATTAACTTCTATAAAGTTCTATGCTTATTAATAGCTTTAATTAGCATATAAAGCTATAGAATAACTATTATTAAGTATAGAACTTTATAGAATTTAATAGAATTAATAGATTTAATATAAATATCCATTAACTATATTACTTAAAATTGGTTTTCTCTTTATATAATAACACTTTATATTATAAATATAATAACCTTAAATGTAAATCACTTCACTTATACTTATTATTATCATTATTTTTATATAATGGACTCTTCATTTTACGAAAGCGATATTTTAACTAACGCTTTTTCTGATAATGAAATTAATTCTAATAACGAATTACCTAATTCTAATAATGAATTAATTACTTTATCAGAAAACGACGTTGAAAGTACGGCAGAATCATCAATTAATTCAAAAGATTATAATAATAAATCTTTTCAATTAAATGATGAAAATAGTTCGATTTATATTTTAAAAGAAGGCTTATTTACTTAAACTTTATTACTTATTAACCTTAATAAAGAACGAAAGATAATTGTTAGATGTATAAGGTAAGTTACTTCTTTTTTTAAATATTTATTTTATAATATATTAAATATATTATATTTACTAATTACTTTTAGTTATTAATATTCGAAAACTGTTAAAGTTAAACGCTTTCAATCTTTTAATTTCGTTAAACATTATCAATTTAAACATTTAAATATTGCTTATAATAAAGCAACGGAAAAAACAAAATTAAAAAGTAAGTTATTTATTTATATATTAAAAATACTTTACTAATATAAATATTAGAAAATATTATACAACCTATTGCATTAACCTTTTTTAATTTATAAACAAAAAAACGACCTCGAAATATAACTATATTAAATGAAAATATCGATGAAATTATTAATAATAAAATTTTAGATTTTATTATTAATAATAATTTATCATTTAATATATTAAATTCCGATTCCTTTCAAAATCTAATTCATTTTTTTAAGCCATAAATCCTTATTTAACTTTTATTTAATAATTATATATTAACTATTTATTAGGGACTTTATTATAAATCGAAAAACTATAAAAGCATTATTGGATTCAAATTTTTAAAGTGCTTTAATAGCTTTTAATAACGAATTAAAAGCTAATATTAAAAGTAATGGAAGCTTTTCTATTATTTTTAATATATGGACTTCGAATTCCTAAACGGCTTTTATAGGGGTTATTATTTCATATATTAATTCCGACTTTAATTTAATATATAAATTAATTGGATTTAATAAAATAACTAACCGTCATAGCGGGTTAAATATATTTAATTCTTTTTTAAATATATTAAACCTTTATAATATTGAAATGAATAATATATTTAGGTATGTTTATTATTTAATAACTGTTTTATATTAAAAAACTAATTATTTATATTAGTATTACCCGAAATAACGCTAGAAATAACGATACATTTTTAAACTCTTTTTAAAGGGAATATTTTAATTCCTTTAATAAAGAATTTAATAATAATATTCGTTGTATTTCTTATATAATTAATTTAATGGTTTAAGATATATTAAAACAATATATTTTAACCACTACAGATTCTGAAAATCTAATTAATTATATTGCAAACGGGGATAATATTGAAAACCAAGGGTATATAAGTAAGTTATTTCTTTATTTTAACTTTATTTATAATTATATATTAACCTTTAATAGGTTTAATTAACCGTATACCGCGAATAGTTATTTTAATTAAATATATAGCTGAAATTAAAGCGTTATTTCTTAAAGGAATTAATAAAGCAAAAAGAAATAACGAATTGCCTTCGGATTATAAAATTAAAAAGATTCCATTAGGTATATTCTTTTATATTATATAATTAATTATATTATATTTCTTTATTAACTTAATTATTAAATAATAGTACTTAATGGAATTCTACTTTTCGTATATTAAATACGTTTTACGAATTAAAGTCGCCTTTAGAATTCGTTAATCGGTTTACTATAAATACTGAATTTAAACAAATATATTTAAATTCTTTATATTGGTTTATCGTTAAACAATTAAAGAATTTATTTATTATATTTGTTAAACCTTTAGTTAAATTACAAGCGGAACTTTATACTACTTTACCTAAGTCGCTATTATATATTTATAAAATATATAACGATTTAAATAACTTTATTCAATATTATTAAAGGAAAATCCAAAACGATTCTTTATTAGTAAATATTTTCTTTTCCTATTTATTACTTTATTATATATTAATTATATTATAGGAATCAATCTTTTCTAATATTATTAATGTTATTAAAAATGGTATTAAAAAATTAGAAAAGTATTTCCCATAACGTTTAAATAATACAACAATTAAAAAATATAAAGCTTATATTTTAAGCTTTATATTAAACCCTCGGTTTAAAGTTAATCACTTTAAACCTAATAGGTTATTGCATTTTTATCCTAATATTAAACGAAATATTATTCGCTTATTTAAATTAGAATTTAATTCGTAAGTTATTTTCTTTAATATTTATTATTTTATATTAAATTATTAACTTATATTTAGATTTTTAAACATAATTTCATCTTCTAGTTTAATTAATATAGATAAATTATCTAATTCATTTATAACTAATGAAATAGATAATAATTCTAATTCTGATTTTAAAAGTGAATTTTATATAAATTCATCTTCAATAAATACAGAAAAAGAATTTATTATTTATTTAAAAGAAGAATTACAACCTCGAAAAGTAAGTTTATTTACTTTATATATATATATTATAATATTAATTTTTTTATAGGCTAATCCTTTGGAATATTGGAAAAATAATGCTTTTAGATTTCCAATACTTTCTATTTTAGCTAGAAAATACCTAGCTATTCCGGCTACTTCTACTACTATTGAACGAATTTTTTCTATTACTAGTAATATTATTACTAAAAATAGAAATAAACTTAGTCCAGAAACGGTTAAATCATTGATTTTATCAAAGAATTAGCAATTAAGCTTTAATGAATTATATGATGAAGAAGAGGAAGAATTTAATAATGAAGATGAGGATTAAATTATATATAATTAAGCTAGTATATAGTTTATTATTTTAAATTTCCTTTTTTATTAAATTTAATATTATAAAATAAGTTTTATAATTAAGTTAAACTTAATTTTAATTAATAATATATTTATAAGTCTTTTTTTAAAAGAATGATTTTATATACTTATTTTAAAATATTACTTTTTATTATAATAAGTATAATGTATAATATCGTAAATAAATATTAAAAATATACTATAAATTATATAGTATTAAAGTAATGATTAACTTATTAATTTATAATCTTTATTAACTACGCTATATATAATATAGAAGGTGTAGGCCACTAACTGAACCACTCTTTGACCTACTAACCTATCCACCAACTGAACCACTCTCTGACCTACTAATCTATCCACTAACTGAACCACTGTTTGACCTACTAATCTATCCACTAACTGAACCACTGTATGACCTACTAACCTAGCCACCAACTGAACCACTCTCTGACCTACTAATCTATCCATTAATTGAACCACTGTTTGACCTATTAACCTAGCCACTAACTAAACCACTGTTTAACCTATTAACCTAACCATTAATTAAACCATTATTTAACTTATTAATCTATCCTTTAAAAGACCTATTAATTATACTATTAACTTAAGGGTTAGGAGCTATAACTCTTTTATAATAACTTATTTAAATAATTTAATATCTTTATAATTATATTAAATATAATATATAATTTATTAAGGCTTTTCTTTATAAAGTTTCTTTTATAAAATATATAAAATAAATTTATATAAATATAAAAATAAGTATAATAAATGTAATAAGTGTAGTAATATTACTTATAGTATATAGTATTACTAGTAATAAGTGTAGTGTAGTAATTATACTTATTAATATTACTGTAGTATTTGAAAACAGTTACTACTAGTAATACTACAGTAGTAATACTACACTGTAGTAATAATACTACATACTAATTTGCTAACCTTAAGCGTCGCATTAAAATACTGTACATTTTTCTACCTAAATTATTATCGTTAAAAGGTAACATTTCTACCTTTAATAATGTATAATAAATTAAATAAAAATAGTAAAAATAAACGGTTTCAAGGATTAAGTTTATTAACTAATTTAGCATTTTTTAATATATTATATTTATTTTTACGATTTCTTTCCATATAGATATTCCAGGTTAAAGTTAATAGGTTTAAAAAATTTTATATAGCATTATATAAATTCCTATATAAATTATACTTTAAAAAAACCACTATAACTTTAATAATTAAATATACTTCCTATAATAGGTTAATATTTTTTATAATTTAATTATATATATAGAATTATATTATATAGTTAATTTTAAAGTTTAATAATTATAAATGCTTTTTTTAATTAGTTATTTTTAATTATCTATTTTATAGTTTTATATATAAATACTGTATAGTATAGGTGGTTCGTGAGGGGGGTGGTTCGTGAGGGGGGTGGTTCGTGAGGGGGGTGGTTCGTGAGGGGGGTGGTTCGTGAGGGGGGTGGTTCGTGAGGGGGGTGGTTCGTAGGGGGTGTGGTCAGCTTAATGAGCATGATGCATCTCTCCTTATATAAGTTACATATTATATACCTGTTCCTTCATTCATTTTTCTTAAACGGAATTAAGAAAAATGATCCTAGGGCAAATTACAGTCTGTCTAACGTCCTCTGAGATATGATGCCGACCTATATAAGCGCTAAGAACCCTAATAGGTCCGTAATATAGGTCGCTGGGACCTGTTGGTCTGCAATGTCCGACACAGCCCCCTTGTTTACCTGGTATTAACTGCTATGTCTTCACAATGTAACAATTTCTCAAATCTCTTCTGTATTATAATTTTGCATTCGTCTAACCTTCTGAAGATGCTTGGATGATTTAATTACTCAGACATTATGGAGGATCAAAACCATTCTTCTCAGCAAGAGCTTATGGTTATTCACGCCACTCTATTTCGAATGGGGACAACATCGTTAGCTAAAGCGTACAGAACTTTGGGCTATAAAGTACACCATGGGGTCGACGACGTTCGCGGAAACCCCTGGAGTCTCATAGAAAAAGCAGCTGAAGCTACTTGGCCATCGATCCCTGGAGCGACGAAGAGGCAGCCATATACACGAAAGGACTGGGACTCTTTATGGGGCTCCAAATATGACATAGTCACCGATTTAGCCTCACCATTCGTCCACCAGCTCATCAAGGCTTATCCAAATGCCAAAGTTGTTATCGTCCAACGAGACTTTGATTCTTGGTGGCCAAGCTTCAGATCACAGCTATTAACAACACTGTTCTCCTCTCCTCTTGTTGGCATTGGCCTCTTCCTTGACTGGCAGATCAACGGCGTCCGCGCTGGCTATGCAATGCGCAAAGTTCACTTTGGGTTCTTCGGAGCCAAGAACATTGCTGAAATAGAAATGAAAGCGCGCGAGACGTATAATAGGTATTTCGAGACGCTAAGGCAGATGGTTCCTCCTGAGAGGAGGCTTGAGTACAGCATGGGCGATGGATGGGAACCATTATGTGCGTTCCTTGGAAAAGATGTTCCAGATATTCCTTTCCCAAGATTGAATGTGAGAAGGCATTCGAAAGGGAGAGCAGCGCGACGAAATGAAAGAATCAAGGTTGGATTTTGGGCATTGGCACTCTTGGGCATTATAGTGGCCATCTGGTTCATTAGATCTTAAAAGCAACGCGCTAATATCTATAGCGAGTGCGTCGCTGTACTGTACGATACTACACGAGACCTGTCAATATAGGACAAGTATAAATCTGCAGTAGGTCCCACACTAAATCTGCAGTACCCAGGTGCTAACGGCTAAAACGGTCTGTAGCACACTCACAGCACTGTTTTTGCTATACTATCTACACCTTCCCAAATACCCTACCACCTACACTTACAGTACCCTACCACCTACGCTTACAGTACCCTACTACCTACACTTACCCTACTGTTTTTAACCTTTAACAATTCTTAAAATCCATTAATTTTATTACTTTTATAAATTATCTAACTATATAAAGATTCTTAAGCTTAAGGAAATATAAAACTTAGGAATGTATAGCTATAAGGAGGGGGGGTTTAACCAATAACCTATAATAACATTCTACTTTGCAAGCCCCGATATATATAATGTACAAATATTGCAACCAGCTGAAAACAGCTGCGTACACCTGGATACTGCAGATTTAATATAGGACCTACTGCAGATTTATACTTATCCTTAATATAAGCCTAGGTGCTCAGTATTGTAATATTTTACAGCCTTGGACTCTGTGTAACCGATGGCACCCACCCACATTAGCATACGGGAAGATGACGCTGGAAATTCTGTCTCTGGAGAACACAACGATGCTGGTTATAAAGAGGTTATATTCACTTGAACTCGATCCTCCTAACAGTTTAGTGGGTAAGAGTTGTAGGTAGACGGTGCGGGAGATGTGTGCGCACGCTTAACCTTGTCCAAACTCTCCGTCTGGGCGGTTTGGCGACATTAGATATTACCGGCGGCCGGCCTCGAATCAAACCGGTATAACGTTATCACAGTAGAGCAAGTACAGCAAAGTGGGGAGGATATTGTTAAATATAAGGGGTTATATTTATTAAAATAAAGGATATATTAATAAATAATGCAATATAAGGAGTAAGTTAAAATAGCTCTAACTTTAAGGATCTACCTTATAAAATTATTAATATATACCTTAAGGGTAAAGTAAAATTTATTTAATAATAATATATATACTTTTAAACTTTTAATTAATTAATTTATTTATTTTAATAATTAAAAGTTTTATATATTTAAATATAACTTTATTAATGTTTAAAATTAAATAATATAATATTAAAAAAATAATATAATAATATTATTAATAGTTAAAATTATATTTATTAAATTAAAAAACTTTAATTAATAAAAATATAATTATATAATTAAAGTAAAATCTTTAAATTTATAAAATTATTTAAATATTAATAATAAAAAAGTAATTATAATTAAAAGAATTATAATTTTTATAATATTAAAATTATTTAATTAAATTTATAATAAATAAAGTAATAATATTAACGCATCTCCCACTTGACCTGGCCACCCAATTGACCTGGCCACCCCAATAACCTATATAAAACCCTATTATTTCAATCTTTAATAACTTTA